TTGCCAGATGCCCTACAAACTAGTTTAAAGTTGTTGTCTGATGAGGATATTGCCATTCTAGGCCTCTGTGGGTTATTTTCATTCCATCTGATTAGTATCTTAAAAAAAACCAAAAAAACAAAACAAAAAACCATTTTTATCATATAAAAAAAAGAAGGGCAAACACACAATTTATTCTTTTAGGCCTAATGTGTGGAAACAATAAAACACACACTGATGATATTAATGAATATTACAAATCAACAAATCAAATAGATAAACTTTGTATAATTTGGTGCTATATAAATTTTGCTTATTACTTGATTGAATGATAAAATCATTAACAGGTAATGAAAACAACGAGAGGTAAATCAGAGCATAACTTAGCAACGAGAATATCTATAAAAAATAACACATACCAGCTGACGCATGAAACTTAGAATGACGTTGGTTTCCTACTGATGATAAATAAGAAAATGAAATACAGTAAGACAGCCACTAACACTGAGACCAAAATAAGCCTGCCAAACTAATAATATTCAGAATGTCTTAGTTTCTTCCCACCTCCCACCCCCTTGAAAGATTAATGCATTTCACCTGTATTTCTACATTGGAATTTCTAATAAGTATTATACACATTAATTTTATGCCTCATTTAGTTTATTGTTGAGCTAGCTATGTACTAGAATCTTGACTACATAGCATTTTTCTACTTTATATATAACCTTCCCTTCTTTATATTAGCATTAAAAACTATAATCTTTTTTCATATTTGTTAAACTATTATTACTACTACATATTACTGTACTACATTATTAAAAACTTAACAATACAGTATAGTTAATATTATCATTCTTAAACAACAACATAGTTATTGATTCTGAATAAATTAAGTTTTAATTAAAATTCTGAACAACTTGAATAAACCAACCAAAATTAACTGATAAATTTCTTATGGATTCTCTAAATAAATATCCATTATCATTTTTTATCAATTATTATTGCATGACCATCATTATCTATATCATCATTATCAGTGGTGGATTCAAGGGGGCCCAGCCAGCCATAGCAGAGAAAATTGTATTCAAATTTAAGTCTGAGAGTGCAATTTCCAGCCATCTACAGGTGCCATAATCATAACACCACCACCACCCCCAACGATGGGGACTGAGGTGGGTGGACCCTCTATCCATGAAAGTCCCTCACTTCTGCTTCTATTACAAATCCACTGATTGCAACTGTTGAGTACATGATATATCTTGACATATAGAGTACCGTTGTGTCGTCACAACACCAGGTGGCGCTTCCTGGATGTTGGTTACTGTTCATTACGCCTGAATGACTTCATAATCTTTAATGGTTTAGGATAGGCTTTCTATACAGTAATAGGCATTTTCGTGTAGCCAATAGCAACAGCGACACCGTCACCGCCTCCCGACGGTGGCCACACCCCTACGCCCACAGACTGGTGTACGGTAGTCACGCATTTCAAATCTCTCAAGTTGGTAACTATGTTTACATTATATTAAAATATTTCTTATGAAAAACCACAATAGTGTTCTAAGGGAATTGACAACTACAAGTGACTCTGGTCATTGATTATGACACCACACCTATCAATCTAATGATAATAATAATAATAATTGTAAACTTATATAGCGCATAATGCAAAATACCTCTATGCGCTTTTACAGCTGGGAGTGGGATAAATTATTTAAAGTTTCACCTAATTAAAAAATAAATTCAAAAAAAAAAATAAAGCTCAAATTTATCTCACAATAAAGGTAACATAGTCATGTTGACTCAATTTGTCAAATAAAACAATTTAAAAAGGTAATTTAAGTTTTCATTTATGTACACAATTACTGAAAATGTTCGCACCTCAGCGCCAACCATGGTGGCATTGATGTGGTCCGAACTCCCTATTTCCGCACCCCTTTAACACTGGCAGTGAAAGTACTTTTCTCCCTTTTAACTGACCGGATCCCTTCCCCACACTTGAAGGTAGCAATTGGTAGATGGGGGCAGGAATATTGGTAGTGGGGATGGATTATCAGTAGGTGGGGTGGTATGAGATGGTAGTTATAGGTACGTGACTATCAGCCATTGAGAGCGCAATACCATGGCAGCACTATCATTTTCTGTCTGGACAGCCCTCTCTTGTTCTGGCTACAATGGACGTATATATCTTTTCTCTATGATCCGAAAATACTGATGACGTAGTTCATATTTTCCTCTTTGACCTCATCATTAAGTGAGTGAATTTATTGCCGAAAGTTTTGGTTGTAAAAAACATGCAAATATTTCATAGAAGTTAAGTTTATTTTGTTCTGAAACCAGTTTATTGTGTCATCCACAACTTGATGTAATATTTAGTTGTTCTGAACACTAAAACCTTGTTATTGACCGGAAATAAAAATGTGTTTGTGAATGGAAATTCCCCCAAATCTATCTGTGTGGCGCAGGCTGACATCATGCATGTCTGGTTTTGCTGCAATCACATGCAGCAATTTGTCCCATTAATTAATTAAATCATTATTTAATTAATAAATGACTGAATTTTAATGAGTTTCACAATTCTTTTTTTGTCCTTGTTGCATGCTTTCAAATTATTTTTATTTTATTGAAATATGTCTAAAAACAAAGAAGTTAAAGCATTTTTTGATCATTTTTCAAGAAAAGGTCACATACTTTTCTATTGTTTACATTGGTTTTGAAGGACCAAAATTAGGCATAATTAATTATTTCTTAAATTCGTTAACTTTGTTGATATTTGAATGCTACAGTACATTAATGCTCTTTCAAAGGGTACTGGCTGCAAAGGAATTCCTTGCTTTTGATATTTTTTGTCATACCTGCAGTTACAAAGTGGAATATTTGTCGTTATGAAGAGTACGGATCATTGATGGGATTGTGTTATGGCATTTAATAACTGAGTGATTAATGACTAGGGCAGGCCAGGAAGTTAACAATTTCATAGCTGGATCTATCATCATAGATTAAGAAAATAAACTGGCAGGTTAGCTGTGTAGAATGATAGTACAGTAGGCATGCGACAATGAAATCATGACAATATAGGCCACAATTTAAGATGTAGACATTTGTTGAAACATCATGATGAAACTAAACAAAATAACGAGCAGGCCTAGTTTATTATTGATGTTTCAGTATTATATGCTTATTTAAAATAGTAGCTTACGGCTAAGAACCATAAAGGTAAGAATAACCGATTCCATTTCCTCCTGCCAGGCTGTGGAATAGCCTACCTACAGATGACAGATATACACTTCTGAGCACGTTCTTATTCGGAGTACCGTCTACAACTCCCTACATTTACCATGCATGCTAGCCTCCAATATGTTGGTCAAACCATCAAACAGGATCCAGAGTCGTCGTAGGCCTACTAAAACTGAAGCAACCTTATAACGTTTTAAAACCTACCTTGTTATTATTTCATTTCGAAACTATAGCAATGAAATTCGATGTCCCTTCTATGCTTTACCTATCATAATTTAAGTCTTCGACGTGCCGTACGAATGTGAGAAGAGAATGAACTTCCTATATCGATTTAGTCCCAGTAGGCCGATAACCATAAGTGCGTACCAAAAATATATTATTTCGATTATTACAAGAGTACGCGTATTCGTTGCAAATGTCCCATGTGCACGATAATAAGATGGACCAAAACCACTGCTGCAGTCAGCCGAGATGTCGACGATGAAAAACTTAAACAATACCGTGCTGGGAGATTTTCTTGAAAAAATGAAAATACTCTCCGTCTCATAGATAGTTTTTTTACGCCACAACCTGTTTTTAGGTTGGCAATGTTGAACGGCTATTTGGGCGGTATGAATCAATAATTATAAAGTGCGCCCTCTACAATAAATGTTAAAGACCTGAATAAAAAAAAATTGATAGACAGAGAGTACAGTAAATTGTTTCCATTGCCGCTATCTCTGATTAACAAAACAATAATGGCACTGTACATACTAATCAATTTTAATACCTTTCAAAAGCCTATCTCAGGTCACAGCGAAATTTAATAATATTCTACCATCAGGAAATACATGCAATTTTTTTTAAATCATCTTAAACTTGTATTTACAAGATCGTAAAAAGTGTTACCTTTCAGTTACCTGTTTCTGGTCATTCGCTGTTGATTTAACAGCTTCATTGGTAATCTGACAAACAATGTGAAGCATGATCGCTTCAAGAAACAACTACCCGGCAACTGATCACTGAAGATATCTGGGAGATTGTATCCAGTGTCCCTGTTACTAGATGATATGTATTTTGTAGATACAGTAATATAATTTACGAGGTGACTGATTTGGAAAATGCCATTATATAGTACTGCTGTGTATTTTTAACTTAAGTCCATGGCCTTTGGAAATAATTCTGTGTTATGATTTAGAAGGTTATCCCAGATCATCACTGTATGGTTGTGAACTATATTTTTTCATGTTTATATTACAATATAAAATTCATAAAGTCAACTGAATCAAACACACATTATAGTGCAAGTCGTCATCATCATCACCAATGCAATTTATCTATATTGCCATTAGGTGAAACTTTTTCTATACCTTGTTTTGCGCACTTATACTTTTTAAGATCTTCAAAGGAGGATGAAAAAAAATAAAATTCTGATTCTTATTTAGCAAATAATTTTGCCAAAAACATCCTGAGGAAAAAATATAAGTAAAATTGTGTTGGTGAATCTAAACAGTGTAGAAATGCGATAGTTAAATGCTTTATTTATACAATTACAAAGAAATATTCATATTTGGAGACTTCAAAGCAGCGGCGCACGTAATAAAAATAAAGAAAAACGGGTGTGCTAATTGGCCAAAAATAAAATTTTATTCTTATTTAAAATCATCGATATCGGCAGGCGGTGGCTTCGCTAAACAATGTATAAAAAAAAGTCTCGCCTTACCATCATCACCTTAAATGATTGATGTGTTATCATAACCGATTCAAAAGTGTTGGAACTCGTCCATGGTGTTACGCAATTTAAATTTATTTTTATTTATTATTTATGAAGCTTCATCACTGCACAGAGAACAAAAGTACTGTACAAGGAAAACAAGACATAAAAAGCAGCAAAAGGAAAGGACGAACAGGTGTCAAGTACGTCTATCTACACCCCCCACCCCCTTGAACAAAATAAAACTAGCATCGAACAAAAAAGAGTTGTGGAAGAATTGCACATACGGTTTTTTTTTCCATTAAAAAAATATATAAAAAAGAGATAAACACACATTGAACAGACATACAGTATACATTTTAAGATTATTAAAAGACATTAGTCACACAATGCTCAAGTCTTAATTCGAGCCAATAGAAAACTTTAATAAAATTGCATTAACAAATTGACACAGGTTAGGTTGCCTTACGCTTCTGTAAGTCTGTGGGAAAGGCCTGGTACTAAACTCTGAAACTCCATTCCCTACAACACCAGTCATAATTATTGATAAAAAAAAAAAAAAACTCTTAATTCTCCTTCAGTTTCTACAGCAATTCCATTTTTTCCAGCACTGGTAGCAACCTATATACAGGTATTAGGTTTAGTAGGCAATTTATAAATATTTACATATCCAATAATTATAATATGTTCAATAAATCATCATTATATCAGTTGTTGAGTAAATATGCATACTGTACATTTCATAAATATACTTATATTAAAATGACAATTCGGCAGAGACAATTCGTTCCATAGGATAAATAGACATTAATATCCCATTTAACTCCATGAATTTCATTTAGAAACATCTGTTGGTATATTATTTGCCCTATCTGTGCTTCACCTGTCTCACAGGTTATTGACCCCTATCTATTTAAGTCTAACCATATGGGCTATCACCTTTCACTATAGAGAAATCTATTTTTCAGGTCGGAGTAGGGAGTCATCTAGCCTATGAGGCGCATAGTCCAGCCAATAAGACAAATTGTTCAGCGTATCAGACAAATCGTCCATCACCTGGTAGAACAACTATCAACTGACTGCTACTGAGTTTTTAGAATTTAAGTCCTCAAGCATCAGTTCTATTGCATCATATTCAACCATTTTCAACTGTTTCATCAGCTTCTGTGTACACTGGAAGAGAATGCACACATTTGCAGATTAAGAAACAGAAACATAATATTATTCAAACATTGCTTGTATCTTGTTTCGATTTAATTAATTTTCGATCACTGTCACAAAATTACAAAGTTACATTATATTCAATTAATTAAAATTCATAATTTAAAGGCAAAGCATGTAGCTGTCACTGGATAACTAAGTTAACTGCATTCAGATTTCCTGATGATGACATAATTAATGTCGAAATATTGAATCCCAACACGATGGCGTGTATTTCAATACTTGGAGTATGTATTATACTTTCTTATGCATTATTCTTGTTCCTTTGTTTTATAATTTTCAGTGTTTAAATTGTATTTTAACTTTAAAAACCAAAGACACATAACACAGATACTGATCTACAAAATACCAAAAATTCACATTTTACCACAATTTAGGTGACATCAAAATTTCAGCCCTTTTAAAGTAGGCATGAGGTGCAAACAAATCATATATTTTTAAAAAGAAAATATACTAACTGTTTTCAGAATGGGTGGTTGGTTATCATCAAGATATGGTATGCACACAAATGCTAACTTTAATACATCTAGTCCATCTATGTCCACCTAAAAAAAATATAAAAATCATTAGCATATATTTGCTATTCCTCAATGCATTTTATACTTTCATAAACACTTTATTCATTATTTTAATGGCATTACATGTAAATCTAACTACTTTAAGAGATCTTCTATATTGTAAGTATGTGCATATTTATGTATGTTTTCTTTATATTGTTTAATGGATTTGTCCACAACATGTACATTAAGTACTGTATATATATATACATGAATACACATCCTACATAATGTAAATTAATATTTTTCTTATTTTTTCTTCAGTTATAGCTAGTTTAAATATTGGTTAAAGTGTTTTTCCATAAACTATAGGGCTTGTACCTATTGTTAAAGCGCAGTTAAGCTCAATGCATTGTAATGTATTGTAGTTAGATTTATGTAGTGCTTTATATCGATGTCTCAAAGTGCTTGAGGTGTGGACTAGCTTTTACAATAACTTGCTTCTCCACTAAGGTGTCCTGGTGTCTGGGCTACATCGTAAACTACAACAGGATCTGTATGGACAAGTACACAGAGGTCACCCCCTACTCTTCTCCAAAGATGTACTGTGTTCTTTAAAGTGCACATGAGCCAAATTGTGTACACTGGGCCTACAGTTTATAGTCCTTATCTGAGAAGGCTTGTCTCACCACCAGAACTATAGGCGAGGGATACCATCAGAATCAGCGCAGATATTATGGCTGTACGTTGTGGTGTCCCAGCCTTAACCGCTCGGCTATTTGATTCGCATAGTGTGCTGCCAGTACAAAGGCATTACTTCCTATTAATGGAATTGATTTACATTCATGTACAGTGTACAAATGTACAGTATCATAAACCTGGATCTTACCTTCACACATATATGACCAATATTGCTCAAAATTGCCAACTGAAGTTTATATTCAAGGGTATGATGATATAGGCAATCTTTCTTCAAACTATTTCACAAAATAACAAATAAGATGTAAATAATAATGCATTAAAAAACGTTCTATTTAAAGAAATGAGCGAATATATGTCTCATATGAGCCACACAAATTGCAAGACCTTGAAAGACGAGAATTTCTGCACCAGATTTTGATAAAGTGTACTGATTTTATGAGGTCTTTACTATTAAGAGTGAATCAAAATTTTGTAAACACAAATATTTTTAAATCTTCTTCTCCAGTCGCTACATAGCTAGCGGGTGTGATCATGTTTATGGAGTGTGTTAGAAGGATTTGCAAGTAAGATACCTAATGTGAGCTGCGAGGGAAACTCCTTCTGTGTCTATATTTTTAATTAACCCTAACGCTGCCAGCTCTTTTCTTATTCAGTCAACCAGAGTGCCAGCTGTTAACATTACCTCTAATCCCCTGTGCCAGCTAATTACTTAACAAGGTCACCGTAATGCTAATTTTTGATAGTGTATACTATTTGCTCAATAATTCATAAACTATTGAGATTATGAAAATACAAATCTAAAAACAATTACTCAGCATTAGTTGTTTTGTACATGTATGCTTTTATTTCTGCATTTTATTTATCCTTTAGTGAATAAATGATAGGAATATTTTGTCAATAGGCCTATCACAAATAGTATATTGGGCCTAGGCCTATTAGCAGAGTATGTGTTTTAAAAGTCAAATTACTTGCTGATGAAAATCAAAATAAAGAATCCTCGGCCTACGTATATTTACTAAAATTACTATCACAGTCCAGGCCTAGCTAGGCCTAGGCTAGGTCTAGGCCTAGCGAATCCTAGGCCCAGAACATCATTTTCTATGTCTTTTATGTGAGTTTCTAAGTCTCCTTATTATCCAGCACAGCTGTAACAATTACAGAAGAATAAAGTTTTTCAGCATTTCAAAACATCATATTTTCAACTTGCAAAAATTCAAACTTCTAACAAAACAACACCCAGCAAGTTTCACATCAATGTGCACAAATTCATTAGCTTTCATATGCAGTAAACACTATTTGGGTTAGTGTTAAAACAGCCTCTCTATTGGTCGTTTTTTGGAAGACCTCCACCAATTCACATTTATGCAAAGGTGGCATTGGCTGACAGTGAGCCTATTCGCATTTATGCGAAACTGGCACGTACACCAACTGTGTGTTGTTCACATTTATGCAAAGATGGCAGTGTAAGGGTTGAAGCGTAATACAAGTATCACGTCTCGTATCAATAGCAATTAAATTGACATTTTGTGATGAGCAAGTTACCTGCACTGACTTTGTTGCTTTAGGTACCGAATTAGATTTGGAAGAACATCTTTTAACACACGCTTTTTAAGGAAATCATGACAAGCATTTGCAAGACTTGCAACACATTCCACAGCCTGTAATTAAAAATAATATTCATTCCCAAAGATGCATGAATTAAGCTGAAAATTATGTATAATAATATGCCAGTAATAAAAAGGGTATCATGCCAAGAACACGCTCAATGCACTTCACATTGGTATTGTGGTCAATGGATCAAACACATACTGAGCTCAGTCCTGTAGAGTTAAATAATATTGCAGCTAGCAGGGGTCAAAAGTTAGAGGAAACCCTTCCAGGAGATCTGGTTAAATGAGCTTTCTTAACATATTTAATTTTATTTTTCTGTGCATGGTGATTACCAATCGGCACTGACTTATGTGAAACAATGGATTCATTTGGTGTAAACACCAAGTATAGTCCACAAAAGTCTTGAAGAAGACTTATTTCCAGTGGGGTCCTTCTGGTGCTGATTGGGCAGTACACTGGGAGACAATCCCCTACTCTTTTCCGAAGATTGTACTGCGTGCACATGGGCCATAAATGCACACAGGACCAACGGCTTAAAAGTCTCATTCGAAAGACGGTGCACTATTGTAACTTGTATTTCAGCTCTCCAGCTGAAACACAAGGAGAGGCAGCAGTGGGAATTGAACCAGGGACCTAGAGATCTCACTGTTGAGCACACACACAGTGGCTACCACCAGATTAGCTGGCTGAGCTAAGCTGCTTTCTCTCTTGATTGTATTAAAATATGTAAAAATATGCAAATTTCATAAATTTTGTGGGAGATGGGTTTCTTTCCAGGAGATTGTTGCTTGCTTGCAGGAGTGCGGGAGGCCATGCCGAATTTTGAGAGACTCCAACAAATTCCGGGGTTTGGGACCTCCTGTGCTAATAATCAGTGGAATGGCATTTTGCCCAAAGACACAAGTAACATGCACAGTGAGGAGTGCGAAACTTCAAGGGTTACAAGCCCAAATCCAAACTGCTGTTCCACACAAGCCACAATGGCACTTATCAATCTTTTCAGTTTGTCTTCAACTCTTATATATTGTTTAGTTTGTAGAAATAAACATGAAGGAAAAGAGGTTCTTTTGAGCCTCATAAGACTTGGTCTTGGTAAATATATATATTAACATTTACAAACTGTTATGTTTAAAACACAATCAAATATAATGTACCTTTATTCTAACATTGTAGTTGGAGTGACTTAAACGCTGCACTATTGGTGACCACAGCTGATGAGCTAATGGCAACATGTCATCTTTGAGGGAAAGCAAAAATGAACGTCAAATGAAGTAAACACAAATAGTAACACTAAAAAGTAAAGTAAACAAATGCATGGCAATAAACAACAAACAATTGAACACAGATAACACAAACCTTGGTACGATGATATGCAGATAACACCCTCCATGACTATACTCAATATTAGTGTTTGTTGTTGCAAGCTCTCAATACCCAACAAATGGACGCAGTTCTCCAGTACCTGAAAATGTGAAATGATAATGAAAGGATTAAACAGTATTCAATAAAACCATTAAAAGCTGCGCTATAGCATAGGATATATACTCAGGGTCCCTCCAAAAGGCACAAACCACTGCTCACAGTCACATTTCACCAAACACCACAACTTACCACCACAAATCATGATATTTGTGAGAACATATATATTCTGATTATATATTGATTATAAATAAGATATTAGAGAGGAAAACTACAGTAAAAAACAAGGAATAAGCATCACCAATTTGTCAACTTTGAAGCACAAAATGAAGGCTTACTGGTATGTAGCTCATCAGAGCTATAGTGATGATAGTATCGGACTAACCTAGCCTATCCTACAAAAGTAATAATCAGGATTATAATCATGGATGGCTATCAGTACCGAAGATAAACTGCAAAAGTAATTGGATTAAATTCCTACTGCAAGCTCCTATAGAGTCCTTGTAATGTACCATTCATTCCCTAATCTTTAAAAATTATATTTATGTTTGAGCATGAAAATACATTTAATTGTTTATAAATCTTATTCCACCTGGACAACAATTTTGACATGCAGCGCTGGTTTTTCGGGTGTGCTGTCTTCTATGACCTCTTCAGTGTCTGTGGTTTCTTCTATTTCTCTTGTTGCTTCTCCATCGCAATTCTGAATATTTTCCTGTTGCAACCGATGATGTTTTACAATGAAGTCACACACACTTTCAGATACTGGTTCACTGGTCACAGTATGTTCCTATATAAAAAATATAGACATTTTAATATAATACAAGAATATTCAAGAATTAAATTGTTGGTTGATAGAATCAAGCTGGATTAGGTAGGGTTGAATTACATTTATATGCTCAAGCTTTCACTCCCGGCTCATTATAATAATAATTTAATTATGCAAGCATATTACACCTACAGTACGATTTTTCCAACAAAGAGCTTCATAAATGTTCAATTGAAATAAAATAATGCATGGCATACCTCAGAAATGACAAACCATTTCTTAATGGCCTCAACAAGTGCTTCACACACTAATAGCAAATGTTTCAGTTCTCCCTGCTGGTTTTGTCCAATCAAGTCTAGTACCTAGAAGTAGATACAGTATTATAAAAGTATAATATGCACCTGTTATTAAATCACTACTATCATTTGTATTAATTGGGTATTGATTGGAAAATAGTATTGTTATACCACAATAATTATATTATTATAATATACTATATCTTATTAAATATAATATGTAGAACCTATATGTGTAACCCAGTTATATTTTGATTATTATAATATACAGTATCTTATTAAATATAATATGTAAAACCTACTTGATTAATAGTTTGTTGAATCAGAGGAAGAAGATTGGCACCTCTGCAAAAAAAGAATTCAAAAATGAACAGATACTCAGATTCGATGTGCTTACGAAAGCATTAACTCTTTTAAAAGGTTGCGGTTAAGCTGGGCACATAATTGCGTTGACCGATAGTGACCTGCATGATTTCATACAGACCACAATTTGCTTTGTAAAGGGTTTCCATTAACTAAATCATACATGGATGCAAACAAAAAGACAGGCATTTAAACCATTAAATTCACTGCTCCTCTATATGTACATTTTAATAATAATAATAATAATAATTCTGGATTTATATAGCGCCTCCCGTTGACACAACCTCGAAGCGATTGAACATTATTACCCCCGGATCACTGGATCAAGCACATATGGAACACACACACTCAAGCCCCATAGGGGAATTCCATAATGTTGCAGCTGTATTCAGCGCAGGCTGTGTTTGAAGGTGGAGAGAGACAACCATGGATAAAGTGCCTTGCCCAAGGACAAAAGCGACTTGCACAGCGAGAGTTTTGAACCCCCGACCTCGAGGTTGGGAGTCCAAACCACAACCGATGCGCCAACCACTTCTACAAAGGTTCATTTTAAGGTTAGCTGGCGATTTGTCAATTACCGGAATTTAACACAGCTGTTAAAATGCCCCCACATCGTTTTACAGTGTCAACATCACAGAAGAAAAACAATTTTTGCACACCCTACTTTTGAATTTGCATAACCAGTTTCAAAATCCTGCCTAAAGCTTTGGCTTCCATATAGTGTGTTTGGCTTTAACATGTTCTAAAGATTGTAATTTTCCATTGGTCTAGTTTGTCTCCTTCATGGACAACAATAGGCTTAGTGTAAAGAACAGATAAGCAGAACTTACCCATACTGAAACATGGCTTGCAAAACTAACAATGCATTTGTGTTGAAGTGAGCGTGACGCAATTCATGCGTCAGGCAATCAAGTAAATAGTCTACATTTCTATAAATCAGTTCTTCAATACAACTGAAAATAACAAAATAGTCATAAGTATAAAAATATGCAAATCTTAAAATAATTTATTTATTTTGGTCTAGATGCAGATCAATACCATATCCTAATTGTCATATCATTTATTTTATCTCCTTATAACATAAAAGAACAAAATCATTGAAAAATCATAGTGCAAGTTTAAATATTTGTTTTTTAATGGATCAACAGAAACCGAAAAGTTATTATGGAAAATACAATTATGTTATTCCATACTACAAATAGTGAAATCAAACTTATTTTACCTGTACTTGCAAGCCTCGAAGAACTCTTTGACAGTCTTAAATGCTGACTGACTGAAAAAATAGAAAGTAATTAAATATTTAAACAAGTGATACTTCAGAACTACACACATTTTACTAGATTTCAAATTATCTGGTCACTATCAATTCTTATTCCTTTTATTCTTTTAAACAAAACTATGAATTGTATTTTAAAGACAGAGAATCATTGAGTTTATTTTCAAATTATATAATCGATAAATTGTAAGTTGTATACACTATTTTGATAAATTTAATCTTTCGTTGTTATAGCTTTATCCATGTTTGTATATTAGGAATTGATTATATTTTTAATAACATTATCTAATTTAATTTTTTTTTTTTATAATATATTTTATTTATTTTTTATTTATGTTATTTATTTATTTCCTATACTTTTATATATGTATACTTCATTTTATTGTGATTTATTGTATGATGTTGTATTTTATTTATTAAAGAGGGCCCCTGAACATCAGCATCACTTATGGGAAATTGGAAGAATTACCCCTATAAATATTGCTGAAATAAATAAATAAAAATAAAGGTACCACATTGAAATGTGACCGGTTGAACAACTTACCTAATTAGCATATTGCTATCTGAAACTTTTACAAGAACAGGATAAAGTGTGCTGATTAGAAATAGTTCAAAATCTTCCTTCAAAACCTTGAAAATGAATGAACAAAGTTGTCAAATTATCCATCAAACTTTAATAAAAATGTTTAATCAGACTAGAGCATTTCATAAGATCCGGTATGTTTACTATACTGCACCTTGGCAAATATTGCTAACCCTTCCAGCAGAAGACAACTTAACACAATTGTATTGTTTTTTGTAGTAAGTGGTAGAGATATTGAAACAGCTTCTTCTGTTATATCAGGTAACGAATGCCAGGAAGGCGAGGAGAGGTACTCATTAATAAGACGCCTACAATCAAATAAATAAATAAATACACAATTATTAAACGTAAAATTGTTAATTTTAACATAATAAATATTGAGCTACTACATTTATTCTTTAAAAGATTCTAACATTCACCAAAAAATTTAAATAAATATATTTGCATCAAACATAAAAAAAAAAAAGTTGACAACACATAAATTTACAAAAACAAAATATAAAATTTAAAATATATAAATACGGTATGTAAAACTAAAAATGTTAAGTGTTAAAAAACTGACAATTTTTTAATTACAGAATAGTAGCACTTACTTAATACAAGTTTGTGCAATTGGATGAGGGTAGCAACAGCCAGCAATCAGTTCATTTAGCACCCATACTGCCTGCCTCTGATAAACACAGGATTCCAAGAACAAATCCAGAAAGTACTCCACAAGTACATCCAGATCACCTATGGACAATAAGAGGTTTAAAAGATATGAATTAAAGAATAAAGTATCATACTTATGTCTGAAGACATACAGTGAGGTCCTACAGATGGCTAGTCTGAGCTGCATTGTGTTGTACTAGTATTAGTATGTATACTTCATGAGGTTGTGATGCAATAGGCAAAGGTTTAAGGATTTAATGTGCTGTATTTGAAAGATGCATTTTCTAGGCCTAATTCTAAGTAGAGGGTGCAGTAAATCACCAGGACGAAATAACCAACAACAGACCCACTATGGCAAAAAAGCAGGTAAGTTTATGAGGGTGGAATACTGAGGGGATTTAGCGTAAAAAAGCTTAAGAAAGGCACACACAACATCAGCTCACACTGCTCCACCATTTAGAAGAAGGCACTGTATTGTTAAATAGAGTGGACATGTATCTGTCGGCTTACGATCTGCTGCCCATCAGCTGATTAAGTGTGTGACAGGCTAACACAAGTGTAGGGCATCAAATGATCTCTAAAACTTACCATACGCTGCTAATGTTCTACAAATCTTCCTTGTCACCTCTTCAATTCTATTGTCATTAAATCTTTTGAACCTTCTCTCTGGATTCCATTGCATTTCATCTTGTGAACTAAAATTTACAGGTGTATCTAAAAAGGGGAAAAAACATTTTACTCAAAACATGAAATCAAACTTAGCACAAATTAACTCACAATCTTGACTAAAAGAAATAAATAATAAATTAACAAAACCATACCATGATATAAATTTTTCTGTTGCACTATCTTGATATCTTCCGTATCAAACTCGAGAACTGTCATTAAACAAATTGACAGACGTTTTAAATGTGATGATGAGCACAATACCTGTGAAATCTTCTCACCTGACAAAAGAACATACAAAATATATAAACGTTGTTCATGGACCTTCTGGAATGACAGGTAGGGGCTGGTGAATGAGGAGATATTAGGTGATTTTTAACTAAAATAAGATTAATATTCTAGCTGTCAGTTTTCAATTGGAAAGTAGGGTGTTCTCCACGTACTTACCGCCCTCTCTGATACACCTGCATTTCAATCTTCAGAACCTTATTTTCATGATGTTTTATACACTGACACAGGTAGTATTTATGAATATGTTTTCCTAAATTTTATATATATCTTTTGCTAGCTTTTCTTCATCATCTAAACACGCCAAAAAAAATCGAATTAATGGATTTGGTTTGAGGGGATTTTTTTTAAAGACATTTCCTAACTAATTTAAGCAGACTCATGCGATTCCCTGATCATATTCTTCTTCCCTGTTTTTTTTATTTATTCTTAATTTTTTTTTTTTTTCTGGTAACAAAGATATGTCAGGAGACTTTACCTGCAACCATAATGATTCGAGGGAGTGACATTGTAAGTGCAAACAAATTTTCCTCCAGAATCTCTGTAATATCTCTGCAGTTGTTCTCGTGGAATGTTTTTCTTACAGAGGATAACATTTCTGTGCTTGCATTTGCTACTTGCGGGTAAGGATCTGCAGATAAACTCACCAACATCTCAACAAGAATTGGGATACTTTCAGATAAGCTCCTGTTAAAAAATCAACCAGATATCACGTGACATACTATAGTATATAACTTAGTAGTAGCATTAGTAGTAATTATATTTTAAGCCCTCAATGTTATACAAGAAAAGTTAAGATTTGGGAGTTATAATATGACTATTTGGGATCCCCAATACTCTATAACCAAGGCTTTTATATGATTTGAGGAGTGGGGAGTTAATCACTTGGAAAAAGTTTGCTCTGCTACATCGTCATTAGAATTCCTCACCTTTTACATGTCTCTAAAAGCCTGTTAACAAAATTAGCAACTTCAAGACGGACTTTCCAATTACCATATCTTGCAACAACGCTGGCTTTAGTTAGTAGAATGTGCAATTTTTGTCCAGTTTGTTTTAGCCATGATTCGTTTCTGGTGATCACAAACTTGTGAGTCATTAAATTTCTGCATTCTGAAGACTTAAATGCCTCGCTAACTCCTGTATCATCAAGTACTTTCACTAGCATACATCCCCAGGTGTGTAATGCATACTAAACGAGAGATAAAATGTAACAAATATACGTAAAGAAACACATCAACAGTTGGAATTGGAAAAAAATTAAAGCATAATTTGGAAACAGAAGACACAAATAGGACATACAACAAGATCAACATCACCTACTAAAAACAGCAAATGAAAGCGTGTTTATGAGAAACACTCAAAGACAGAAAAATTATGTTTTCTTACAACTACTAGAGCATTGGCGACTCGTCTAATGAAAATATAACATTTCTCTATATAAAGTTGATGCCTGAGAACTGCTAACAGGAAGCAGTATATTTGATTATAATAAATAAAAAATTCAGTGAGATTAATAGACTAAACTTGTATTTGCATTAGGGTTATGTATTAGGCAGTTATGTCTTACTTTTGCAACTTTTGGTTCATTTATTATGATCTTGACAAGAGCTGAAGATGCACCTGGTAAAAATGATGTGAATACACAACCAATTTGACAAACTAATGCTGGATCAATACCAGTATTATCTACAATAGAAAAGGTAAAAAAATATCAATGATTAGAGAATAAAAAAAATGGATGGATGAATGAAAGAAAGAAATGAATGAATGAATGAATAAATTGAATGTAATGAATGAATGAATGAATTCAATGAATGGAATTGAATGAATGAATGAATGAATGAATTTATAATGAATTAATTAATGAACAGAGCACTAACAAATAATTGAAGAATTCACAGGAAAACAAAAAAATATATTTAAAAAAAACTAATTAAATAAAGTATGAATAAATAAATCAATAAAAATAGAATTGAATTTTTTATTGATGAGCCGACAATCCAAATAGTAGAAACAATGAATAAATATATAAATATTGATTGATTAATTATTAATTGAAAATCAATTATGTACCTTGACAGAGAGAGGAAAGGCAAGAGAGAGCCTGCACCCTGAGAACGTGTAACTTCTGATGCTCAGCCACATTTATCAGAACTGACACAGCATGGCCGACACTGGGTAAGTACTCAAAATTGAATAAACTGGACAGCGTGCTAAAAATAACAATAATAGTGGATGCTAAAGCAGGCACATGTTGCATCATACGATGGTCTTGCAACTTATTCCTATCACTTATAAGGGAGCAGTATTTTTTCACAATGCATATTAAACTTTATTGACTGTTGCTGCGATTTGGCTATCACTACATGACTATTGACCACCTCTACATGAGTACTGACCACCTTACTCACTACTGACTATTGCTAGGCAATAACTAACACTACGCGATTATTAAAAGTAACTATTTCCAATTTTTCTCAGCTAATACTCGATCTTTTGGGACACTAGTATGAAATAGTACCCTCAAAATTTACAACAATTGCTTATCATGTCTCCATGCTCAAAGCAATTGATCTATAGGAAGCTCAAAAGCATACCACTTCTTCACATGCTAACAAAGGATACAGGTGGGTATATCTTAAACTGACCTTGAATTTGCATTTTGAATTAGTTGATGTAAACACCTGACAGTGACTAGTTGAATTTCTTCTGGAAAGCTAGCTACAATTATAAACAAATAATAAATTAAACAATCTTAATGTCAACCTTAGAGACAAGCACCAGCTCAGTGATGTAGTGGGTGATACTAGGATAGCCTTTGGAAGCTACTGTATAGTTTAAATACCCTAAAAAATTTGTTAGGGGGAAAAGTTTGCCAGAGGAGTTGGTAAGGGGTGACTTCACTAGAGGCGACTTTACTAGTTCCCTGAGCTGAGCAGTCAGTGCAATAGCATGTCAGGTTAAACACAAAAATTCCTGCAATTTTTTTTTTATTGAAATCAAGAGCATTATCTGTAAATGATTTTGCTCAGTGATTGTCACAGATGAGCATAGTTCGATGATCCATAACAATATTCCTTAAATTTACCTGAAGGCGATTGTATATTCGTGCTTAGTAATGAGCAAAAAAGTTGAAAGTAATCAGAAAATAACTGCCAAGTGTTCAATGAGGTTTTCTCTAGTATCTCCAAAAGGCACTGCAGAGTTACTTCAAGCAGGTCCTCGGTTCTAAATTTAGAGAAACAAAATTTAAACAATTTTTAGAATTTTTAAAGTATTTTTTTTAAAAACTTTAAATAGTACTTTGTGCTGATCCTCTATACAAGCAATTATGATACAGTTGTGTCCGACCTCCAATTAGTAACCACTTTGGAGACCTGAAATTTAGGGTGGTTTCGGGGTTTAGTCTCAAATGACAAAAATCAGAATAGAGACCACCAGCTAAAAGTGGTCTTTAAACAGCATAATTATATGGTAACCAAACATGACGCCTCTAAATGAAGATCAAAGCTAAATGTGGCCTCCAAATGACAACATGGGACAACCATTTCCAGCCTCATAAGCAGGGAATTAAAGGAGTCTTGAATTGGAGGGCGAGCTATACGTTTATAAAGCATAACTGAACCTATGAGAGAAGAGTAGATTTCTACTGAACAGATACCCAGAGTATACAGGACGTTTAAAAAAATCAATTTCTTCAACCAACTTGCATTGGATTTGATTTAATTAAATTTTTTCTTCCTTTGGGTACAGTAGCGTTATCTAAGGGGATGTGCGAGAGGGAGAAAGCATGCCCCTCCAAAAATGACTCGGGCTCCGCTCCCCTTCTCCAGTTGCCCCCAAACATCACTTGCAAGTAGGTAAAAATCACCTTATTTTGCGAGTTATACCCCCTCACTGGTCATCAAGCACACCCATTTCACCTTCACGCTCCCCACACCCCCATTTCAATAATAAAGCCTCATAATGGCACAGGGAGTGGAGTTGTCACAGGATTGAACCAAGGTCCTTTGGATTAGAAGGCAAAGCATCTTCAAGCTATTCAACTCCATTACCTAAGTGAGTGATAATTACAGTACATAAATGACTTCTCACATACTTATTTCTTGGATTGTGCAGTATGATTCGGAGTGGGAAAAGGACATATTGCTGAAGATGCTGCAACACATATCCATCTAACTGCTGCAGTATATACAACAAGGCTCTAGCATTATTGCAGTCTGTTTGTTTGGTCAGCAATACGCAGACTGGACGCAATCGATTGAATGCTTCACTGAACACATCCTCCTGAGGCTGCATGGTATCTTGATTCAACGTTTGGGCTGAAAATAAACCTTAAAATTTTATCAAATTAATTCCAAACATATATTTTTTGAAGTTTTATATTCCTTTCATAAGACTTTATAGCGCCACTGAACATTGCATTATGCGGCGGATCCAGGGGGTGGGGGGAAGACAGCCTGAGCTTCTCATAAACGTGTTAAAATTATTTTTAAATATGTAGAAAACAAAGAAAAACATTTTTCTAGACCCACCATCTGTAAAAATCCCCTCCTGACCCTCAACCCCCTATTTCAAATTCCTGGATCCACCACTGCTGACATTTCAATATGTTCAATGATATCTAATCGGGGAATATTTGTGGGCATATAACAATTCTAATAAAATATTCTACCAAAATTTGAATGGTATTTCTTGAAATAGGGGCCAAATAACTGTCTAGGCCTAGGTAGCAACTTCCTTATTTCAAAAGGTATAGCTTCGTAAAATCCGTACAAAGTTAAAATAGCCATTACCAGAATGAAAAAGGGGCATGGTACCTAAATTTCAAAGGTTATAACTTAAGCGCCGTGGCTAGAGATACGGTACTGTATCTTAATTTCCGCTTGCTAAAATTATGGTAAATTGCACTATCCAATAAAATGCCGTCACCAACGTGATGACATTGTGCAAAAATCACTCGCTGTGATCCTGCTGACCTGTCGAGTTGTTATACAAAGCGACATAAGACAACGTCAAACTCATGAAGCAGAAAAACGTCCATAATTGAATAACTCACCAAAAATGAATACAGTAAATAAAATGCCACGTCTACAGAACAATTAATGGCAATCTTCTATTGCATATTCCACAAAATAAACCTAAGTGATTGTTACATTTATGGAGGTATGAAATACCTCCATGCTCAAAGATACATTACATAACACCTTTACTGTACAATAGCCAAGACTTTATCTACACAATGTGTTAGCTTTCACAAGCCCGTAGCCAGGGGGGTTCGTTGGGTGCGAAGTGCCCTTTCAACAAAGGCTGGCTAGCCTACACCTTGGGCCTAGCCTAGAGCCTATCATCATTAAAAAAAAGTCCTACTTTAATACCCAATTGTTAGGCCTACCTAGTAATATAAAAAAATAAATGAAAATAGGGCATTTCCAACTGTTACAACATTATTATTTAATCAGTACAAACGTGTAGGGCTAACTGCCCAAAATAGGAATAGGGCAGGGCAGTAGCAGCAGATCGTATCGCCGATCTTTCCGATACGATCGTCGGCCACCATATACTATATTACTATGGATGCAATATTTTATTGTGCAGTATGACCATTTAGGCACCAAAACCTTGACTCAGAAATACCGGGATGGTGTCCGGAGGGGGGATAGTTTCACCTGTATAATTATATATAATAATATTAATCGGGATAATAATACACTACAGCCAACCATACAAATTTGTTTCGGTTCTTTTTATGTTACTGATTGTCTTGAATGAGTACAGTGTGATACAACTTCCAAAGTGCTATAAGCCATACAGTACTTCTTATTTCTTAAAAAGAATAAAAATAAAGAATAAACCATAGGCCTACTGGTTTCTTTGGAGTTTGTATCATGCTACTGTAGGCTCTTGTTAATTTACCAGTACTGTAGTACTAAACTAGTAGTTTTTGTTTTTTTTATTTTTATCTTTGCCTAACTCAAAAAAATTACCTCTTTAATATATAAATTTTTTTTAAATGTATGGCCTCTCAAATCAATTAAATAACACCAGTACATGTCTAGAATGTTGGAGCTTCCAGGGGCTTCGCCCCCTGGACCCCCACCGCGCCTTTTTCCCATTGACCCTACCGGGGGCCCGTGGCGGCACCCTGGCCCCCAGCCAATGGTGCTTGTTTCGCTCGCAAGTGTCCTTTTAGTATCAAAAAGAACACCCCTATAAAAATCCTGGCTATGGACTTGGCTTTCATATGAGAAAGGATTTTATAATTAACTTACCTTTTCCTGATATTGACCTGACCATTTACAGTAGGTGAAAGATGCAACTCAATTAGTTATGTAACTTATAATTACAGCGTTGCAAGTTATTTGTATTCTGGGTGCACAATCACTAATAACATGATGGGTGGCATTGATTCAAAAGTGAACCCAATAAAATTCAAATCTAAAAAATCCAAGAAATATAGTACACATCATCGTGTTGGGATTCAATATTAAAACATTAACATTTACTATGGAGAAGTGTGTTTTCTTTTTTTTGAGTAGTGAGTTGTTAGTTATACTTTCACATCAGGTTTGATAAAACATATATTTGCAAGATACAGTAAGAGGATTAACTCATATTCAAGATAGGTAAAAGCACTAAATGTTGCTTCACCAATTTCCTCTGCATTGAGCGAGCGATTTCACAAGTCTCTATGAACAACGAGTCACACCGTCGGCAGCATTTTATTGGATGATGCCATTTACCGTACCTTTTTTTCAACGGAAGATAATATACGGTACCGTATCACTAGCCACGGCATAACTTAAAAATCTCTTGGAAATTGAAACTGAAATTTTGGATTCTTTCATTTGATAGCCATTTTTAGAATTTTTTTAAAGAAAAATTCAAGTGGGGTCACATCGTCATAAGCACTTTTTAATTTCTGGCTGATTTGAGCGAAAATGACCCAAAAAAGGACACGGCATTTCGCAAGTATTCACACAACAGATTATACTGGCAGATTAGAACACATATCAGTTTGGACACTCTAGGCCTCCTAACTAGTATAGACAGTAGCCTCAGAGTCATAGGAAAGGAAAGGGGAAAAGGATAGGCCTCTTCTAGGCCTAGGCCGAACTGGCTGACTATATGTACCGCCTGTCCTTTGCTATACTACTAGTACTAGGGCCTAGGTCAGCAGAGCAGAGGCCCTAACCCAACACTAACTACCGCCTAGGCTAGGGAATTGGGCCTATCGTCCAATTTTAACAACCCTTTTCATGATTCCTCTTTCGAGGGTAAGATTTAGATAATTACGAGAAACTAATGACAATGCACTACTACCTGCCATGTTCATACGATAGCTTTTCAGCTATTTTTGCATTTGTTTGTTGTTGATACCGCTTTTCCACCAGGCCACATGTGTGTGAACTTCGAGGTCAGCGACAGCAGAAACTGACTTGAAACTTCAGAGGTGTGGGACGCAAAAACGGCATAAACATATGAGGTTATCTATACCGTATGTCTGCAATTAGTCTTCTTTACCTAATTTAATCATTTGCTGCTATGAATTCTATTATTTTTATCAAATCTATGATTTAGTGCTATTTGTGTTTATGTATACGACTTGCAGTTGAAATAATTATAAAAATCATAATTGTGTCAATTTATTTTACATTTCTTGCAATGTAATATGCCTAGCTTTGTTCAGTATGTACTGTATTCACAACATACAAGATACAAAATAAAGGAGAGGTGAGGGTATTGCAATAGCGCGTGTCACACATGACAATGTTACATGTATCTCGGTCCTCATGAAACTTAGCGCTGATCGGAAAATACAGATTTTAGAATATTATTAATATATTTTCCAGCCGCAACAGTCGACAGAGCCAACTTGAGCGGATCGTTCGGCCTCGTTTGGCTAGGTCGAGTGGATCGACCGCGGACCAGAGTGGGGTGGGGGGTTGAGTCAAATTCTGGCCGGTGGACCAGAAGTGGTCCGGCCGGTGTACAACCTCCCCGATTGATGGGCTTGCCATGCAAGGCCTAAGATGATGCGGTCTGGATGGCGTACAATTTTTTTTTTTATTAGTACAGTAGAGATATGGTGCGCAACAGGGCAAATCTCAGATTATCTTGTTATATCTATTTAATTAAATAAAGATGACAAGCTGTGTCAACAATATGAAATACAAGTACTACATAGATACAATATAATGAGTTTTAAGTCTTTATTACTGCTTTTATATAACAGAGTACGAAATATGTATGATTGGTTTACTTGTGAAAGCAAAACCATATGCAAGGCAACTTGATAATTCAATCTCTATCGTCCTTTGAAATTAACAACTTTGTGAATAGACAAGTCTGATTAACTTAATTACCGCCTTCGAAACAGCGCAACAAACAAGCGATCAATTTGAAGGAGTGTGCCACATCCAAAAGCAAGTACTTAAAAGTTCCAGGATGTTTCATTATGAGATTAAGGCCGGGCGCACACTGTGTCAATCGACTGCACAGAGACTGCAATTTCAACAAGGCATGAACGATGGTTCATTTTCAATAACATTCAAGACTGTTTCTAAAAATCAGCAAAGAATCACATAGAACGAAGATGGATTCGGTCAGCGGACACAGGGTGTCAGAGATGAATTGTTTTCAGCCATGTGATTAAAATCAACCTGTTTTATAGGACATGCAGATGAGCATCATAATTAGTTGACAACAAAATATAATTGTTTTTGTCAGTTATAAGAGCTTTTCATGAAGTTAATCAATTTCAGCATCAGGAAATCTCTTCTTTAGCTTGCGTATTCGGTGACGTTCTCTCGTAAATGCTTTTTTCTTCTCTCTGACAACTTGTTCGAGGAAAATTTTTCTGTAGGTCTGAGTCCAAGGCTCATAATAATGTCGCTTGCGTGCCATCTGTAAAACATGAAATACTATTATAAAAGCTTTCCTTAACTTCCCATTTCTAAATATACAGTAAAATTTTCCAGAATAATTGTATTATAAGTTTAAAAGTATTATAAAAATATACACTGTCTGTGTAGAATATTGTAAACTGTTCTTTAAAAGAATCAAAGAATTTAAGCTTGGTTTCCATAAAAGTGATATAATGTCATTAAAGTTTTTTTCACTGCATACCTGTCCCTGACACAATTGGACTCTACCATTCGACTGACCAATCAGGGTAGTAAGAAGCTGTTATCAACAGCATAAAGCAACTTTATGGAAACCAGATTTAATAAATGCCAATAATACAGATCCAGTTGTGCTTATAAACAGACATTTTATTATCTAAAACCCTTATATTACCAAAAATTACATAAAGTACATACCCTTTTGTTAACGTGGAAGGGAACATAATATTCCTTTGCTGGTGAGTACCGTTTGTAACCCAGTGGAGAATTGATCCATCGTCCAGGGACCCCTTTCTCATAGCCTGTATCAAGCAGTTTCACTGCAGTGTCCCTCTCCTTCAGAACTTCCTCAAGATTTTTCATTGACTCTTCAACCTTGCAGAAAGAAAATATATTGGTTTTTTTTAAATTTTATATTGTACAATCAAATTGTTGTTTAATTGTATAATGTGAAGAGAGAATTTGAAAATTTGCAGCTCGCTTCTTGGTATGTTTCCAAATTTACAGAAATATTAATATTTATATAATATTATTTTGATTTGTTTTTTTTTTACTAATTCTTTTTCATGATGACTTACCTTCTCCAGTCTTTCTGGGCTTGGCATGTGTTTTTCAAGTCGATCTGATTCTTCTTCTAATGTGAGTAATAAATTACGCTCTATTAGCAACACATACCTGAAAAAATCAGATAAAAAGTGGGGTTCATTTAAGTCAGATTTGTTTTATTCCAAATAACACCACTCTCATAGAGCATAACACCAAATAACGCATTTGGCACTCTTTTATATTTATTTATATAAGCGCTTTGACAAAAAGACATCAACATCACAAGTATATGATCAGCAACACAATTAGTTAAAAACAAAATGTAATTGTTTTTGTCAGTTATAAGCGCTTATCATGAAGTTAATCAATTTCAGCATCAGGAAATCTCTTCTTCAGCTTGCGTATTCGGTGACGTCTTGTAAATGCTTTTTTCCTCTCTCTGACAACATGTTCGAGCAATACTTATGTAGGAGTGACTTGAGATGTATATATATATATATATTACCTTAAAGATATGCTCTCAGTTATAACAATTTTGAGTTTGAAAATGAAAATATAATAAATAGATTAATTTTTATATTTCAATATTGTCCTTGCCAATTATTAACAAAAGATAAAAAAATACCATTATTATATCCTTGGTATATTCTGAATTTTTGATTGCAAAGAACTTACCACAGTTTGTGTAAATCTACGTTGTCCTTCTGTCGGAGTTCTTCAGCGTACCAAGCTCGCCCTTAAATACACAAAAAAATAATCTGTGTTGAAATGAAACTATTTCTTTAATGTGCAATCCAATATATTCTTTTTATTATCAATGATATAAAATATACCTGGGTATAAGGCGACCCACATACAGTATAAGACAACCCCCCATATTTGAGAAGATTTTTGAACGATTTTTGTATGTCAGGTATATAAGACCCCCCCCCCTTCCACTGTTTCATGATACGATACAATACGATATTCTTTATTGTCACTTGAACAACAGGGTACAAATGAAATTCAAGTGATTGATCAAGGTACAATTTCAGAGAGGAATAAAGAAAAAAGTAAACTAACAAAGAACTCCAGAGAGACATATTCAAATAACTTAAATCTAATGAATCATATTGAATTTATTGAATGATTTTTGAACGATTTTTGTATGTCAGGTATATAAGACCCCCCCCCCCTCCACTGTTGAATCATATTGAATTTATTGAACGATTTTTGAACGATTTTTGTATGTCAGGTATATAAGACCCACCCCCACCCCCCTCCACTGTTTCATGGTTGGAATTCCTAATTTTTTTCTGCTTTTTATGGTCCTGACACTGCAGCTAGCTGGCTATAAAATGGAGCCAAATACGGTACATCAAACCAAAATAATAGAGAAAAAAAACCTGAGAAAGTAATATAAAATATAGAATTACTTATTTAAAAGAACCAAATGAGTTATCAACTTTCTACAAGTACAAGTCACAGAAGGAAAAAAAAAATTTTCATAATGGAGGTAGGTGTGGACCATCTGTCAAAGTACACACTGCTGAATATGATCTAGCAAGAAGCTATCAATTAATTACATCATTAATTACCATGCTTTATGACTCTTTCACCACGTTTGTCTTCCTCTTCAAAAAACATCTCAAGTCCACACCTACGTACACTTGTGTGGTAATTTGTAGCTGGTGCCAATAATCTGTTTCCATTTTTATGCGAAACTGTCAATGACTTTTCTTTTAACCTACAATGGAGGAATAGATTGGTAAATTAGTGTTTTTTGAAGGTTTGCATGGCGAGTATCAATAAGAAAATCATAAATATAAATAAAATAAAATGACAATATTTGATAAATACAGACTTGGTTGGAATTTGTACGGATTTATCTGCTACGGAGGCAAACTCTTACCTCGTCTGCACTTTAAACGATTGTATGTTTGTACCTCTTTGTATGTCCAGAATAAGAAATCGAGTGGGTAAATTTGTGGTTCAATATAAAGAAGTGAACAATAAGATTAATATTAAACATAAGGCTTGGAATAAATATCTTAAAAGCAGGGGCCAGAGGAGTTGGAACAGTTTTGTTCTGGCTTGTAATCAAGCTATTAATAAAGTACGTAAAGGCAACAACTTCTTTAGAGAAGAAAATACCATCGGAAATCAAGGCTAACCTGAAATCCTTTTAGCAGTAAGCCTATGTAAACAGTCAACAGAACGGAAGTATATACCTGCTATTTCTGATTTAAAAGATAACGTAGGTAACGCAGTGTCGTCTAATTTTTAAGCTGAATTATGTATTAATGAATCTTTATTGAAGCTTTTAAGAGGGTCCTTGGCAAAAATTAATCTCACTCGCAACACCACATACTGTACAACCAAAGTGCTAGCCTTCAAAATTGAATGTCTGCACTAAACTGGCGTACGGTTGAGAATCTTGTTGATATTCCTCCTGTTAATTGCACAGAAGTTTGGGATAATACCTGTTGACTAGGTCTGGGATCTACAGTAGTCATGGGCATAATTGTTTGTGGAAATTGTTTCGGTTTAGCCTAGTGATGTTTACAGTCTATTTTTGGCCTAGGCCTACGCCTATAGACCTGGATACGACGGGGCTCCTGCCCTCATGCGGAAGGCTGCCGCGAAGGCCTCCTTTCGTGGACGGTGTGGCAGCATATTTAGCAGGCCTAGCCTATTGTAGTCTACGATAATGAGGAATAGGACTAAATATTTAGTATTGCAAATTATCATTTAAATTGTTGACAATACAGCACTTACCTAACAAATGCTGACCAACGTATATGTTCTAATAATTGCTGTCCTTTACTCACCAACTTTAACATCGTGCAATCAAAGCGACGATGCAACAGAGTTCAAGATATTATTCTGTCCAAAGTGTGGAACGCCAAGAGAGCATTCCAAATTTTCTGCACACAAGGACCAGCAAATTTCCCTTTGTTTTTGTCTACTTCCCCCTTCTTGGGGGTGCAGTAGACACCATGTAGACTAGTCGCCTTGCAGTGAAGTCTAGAGTAGAAAAATAAATCCGGTAGAGGTCATGTGTGTAAATCCGGTATGGAAGAATGATGGGACGATTCATGAGCTAAAGATAAAAATGAATAGCAAGTCTACGAAATATGATGCCATGCTAGATAAGACCTATCACCCTACAATTAAGTTATTACAGAAAACTAGATAAGACCTGTCCTAGAAAGTTCACTAAAAAGTCACTACAGTAGCAAAAAACAAAAACCTGTAAAATAAAGGAGTAGACACCCGCTGAAAGCCTATTTTTTTCTTTGTTATTGGCCAAGATAGTACATATTGGTTGTTGGTGGTCGGGGAATTTGATCTTTACTACTTTAGGTAGGCCTAATTCTATGTTTGATAGATCTCCATCCCCATTCATTTTGGTAATTTTGTAACTACTCTACTGTTCTAAAATCCATTCTTTTAAATTAATTGAAAAGTTTTAGAACAGATCAATGCCGTAGCCAGGATTTTCAAACAGTGGGGGACAATATCAGGGTAGACCCATTTTTCGCGTAAATTCAAATAATGTGGACCAATTTTCTTAAAATTTGATTCATCGTCGGTCGACGATGGTAGCGTCCCTTCGCTGCCAAAAATAGTTTTTTTGGCAATTGCGTCCCCGGTGACATCGTGAGGGCATGGTGAAAGCTGGTTACGATTTGGTGGCACATCCATTGAGTATTTTCATACATCTGGCCATGTAGGTCAGTGGCGTATCTAGATGTCTTGAAATGGTGGTGGGATGATGGGGGAGGCTCGAAGGTGAAGTGGGGGCTCGATGATCTGTTGAGGGGCGCTTTAGGTGATTTTTATCTACTTGACCGTGATTTTTTGGGGGCGGGGGGTGCGCGAGAAATTTTCGGGGAGGGGAGTAGATACACCACCGATGTAAGTACAGATTCATGCTTATATTTTACACATTTTTATAGCTTATGGTTATATAAATTTAATAAATAGACAAAGAACCTGCAACTCTACCCATACACTTAAATTAGTGTAGAAAACTAGATGACGTCGGTACCGGATGTTTCTTTAAAAAAATAACAATTACGATGAATACCGGTATTCTCAGAATTCTAAAATGCACGGAACTATAATTAGTATTTCATTCATATACAAATAGTAAATAGGAAGAAAGTATTATCGTGCATGATAGAAAAGTAAAACGTTCCCAACGTCAACACAATGAGAGAGGTACGTAGCGTCCCGATTGTCATGTGCACGTCCCCCACCCCACCCCTAAGCCGCTAATTAAGTATATTTTTTATATTACATATTTTATATTTCTGTTCCATATTGTTATCCATATATAATGCTTTATTTTACCTATTTATAATTTTTGGGAACAGCCATTATCTGCTTTCTCATTTCTTATTGTTTATCTATACTCAGCATTAAGACATTGTCTTTGCTAGTAAGCATTCTTACTTAAGATAACAACACTCAGCTCTCTAGTTAATTCTTATTTACTATTTTTGTTTATTTCGCATTAAGTTTTAGTACCGCCCATGCTTTGTTGATAGACCAATAAAATTTCAGGCAATTTGTAGCTAAGTACCGGTATATCTAATGTATATCACCTGTCTCTTATACACATCTAGATGTGTATAAGAGACAGATGCTAGATAAGACCTATCACCCTACAATTAAGTTATTACAGAAAACTAGATAAGACCTGTCCTAGAAAGTTCTCTAAAAAGTCACTACAGTAGCAAAAAACAAAAACTTGTAAAATAAAGGAGTAGACACCCGCTGAAAGCCTATTTTTTCTTTGTTATTGGCCAAGATAGTACATATTGGTTGTTGGTGGTCGGGGAATTTGATCTTTACTACTTTAGGTAGGCCTAATTCTATGTTTGATAGATCTCCATCCCCATTCATTTTGGTAATTTTGTAACTACTCTACTGTTCTAAAATACGGAGCTTGAGCGTTGGTGTTGAAATTTTTCAATTTGTTGAGTAAACTGTGCATTATGGGAGAGCTATTCTCTTGCTCTTTGTTGTTACATTGATTTAGCTGGTTAGAATCGCTGCTCATTCTCGGATTCAGAATCAACTCTACCTCATCTTGTATAACATTCCAGGCGTATGTTATATCATCTTCGTTTGCATTTGGATGGCAAATAGCAAATCTGATCACAAATTTGTCGTCGACTTTTGAAGGCGTCAGATGCAACTTTCTCGACTCATTAATTGTCTTCAGTAGTAGTTCAGTTCGTACATTGTCTCCCTGTAATAAAATTAATGATGTTCTGGATCAGAATACACCGCATTTTTATGTTGAGAATTCCTAGCAAGTTTTAATAAAGACTGGTTTCAGTTTGGTTTAAACTACAGCAATTTAGATGCGCTTTCATGCAGACGCAGTACGCATGCGTACGCCAGTCACCACTATTTTGCTCATTTTGAAGTATCTCAAAGCTTGGAAACTATTTTTGAAAAAAAAAACTTTTACTCTGAATTGCAGACATTTAACGACAAAAAATCTAAACCCATTTGCATAGCCCTTAGATCTAAAGTGTGCAATTATCGATTAGAATTTAAGAGTAAGAAAGTCTTGAATACTGTCGCGTCAGATAAAAAAAATATATAGGCATATATTTTAAAAATGTTTGTAGATTTTGTTGCTATATTTGATTAACTTCTTCATAATTTTCACAAATCTGTGGTGTATATAATATTGGGTAAATTATATTTGATATGTGCTGGTGATATATAGGCTAATTTACATGTGCGAAGTATCAGTTTAAAAAAGATATAATCTCACCAATAATCTGAAGCAGACCAGACCGAAGCGAACCTGTCCAATCAACTCAAATCGGTTGTCTGAAACAACACATGCGGCAAAAATCTTTGCGAGTTGAACGTGCTGAGAATGTACAAATATATATACAATTAACAATAACAGTGCTCCAATTGCTCATTAACGAAGTTCCTTTATTTCAGTCGTATAAAAAATGTGTCTCTGGCAAGATTCAAACATGCAACCTCTCGCTATCAAAGCGAGTATCACAACCATTACACCATCGAGACAGATCTTGTCCTTTATTTTAACACTGTATTTACCTTTCTTTGATTATTTATATATAATAATTTAACAGTGTTAACAACATAACACAGCACCGATTTTAAACAAATCAAATCAAATCAAAATCAATCAAAATCAAATCAAAGTTTATTTGTCCACCGAACACAATTAAAATGGAAATTCTTTTTCCACGGGCAAAAACCTGATGCAATTATATACACAGTACTGTAATATCAACATTAAAATACTGCAATAAAACATTATAAATCAAAAAAATCGTGAATAATATAATTCGGAAAGTTGAACATTCCTTTAAATTTGAAATTATTAATAATTAGTTTAACCAATAATACGCTGATTATTTTAGTAGGCCTACATAATAATTTGATGTTCTTTATGTTTTAGGTATATGTCATTGATTCTTTTTTACATGAAGCTGTTCATTGTGATTAAATTTGATTTTAATATCTTGTGTTATTTTAGAAAAAATATTAGTCAAAAATTATAAGCAACCCTCTAAGACGACATTTTTTATTAATATTTGAAATTTAAAAAAATGATTATTATGCATAATTTTATAAAGGATCGATAATATAAGGCATACCTTTCTAATATAGTTTTGTAAACCGTGGACGCCATATGATCGAATGACAAACCAAAGTTTCAGTGACCGGAAGCGGCGACTCAAAGGAATGGTCCAGTGCTGTGAAAATCGATATTAAATATAATCAATAATAATAATAATAATAATAATAATAATAATAATAATAATAATAATAATAATAATAATAATCGATAATTAAAATTTAAGTGCCAAATCATATTTGCTATTACATTATTGAGTTTTAAATTTCGACCAGAATTGCAATTTAACATGGACACTATCAGAAACGAATTGAAAAACTTACTCGATAGTCAACGGTTTCATCTGCAAAGGCAAAGAAAAAAAAACCCCATTAGAACAACATAATTTATACCGTAGTCCTAATCTAGCACTGCACACTTCTTCCTGAAACCTAGGCCTACGTAGCAAAAACAGTACTGTAGCGTGGCGTAACGCCTATTCGCTCTCGTGCGGCGGTTCGCAGGGCCCCGACCTCTAGGGGCCCGCCCCCCCCCCTGGGTCCTCGTTCTAGCATCCTGATGCAAAAGAGCTTTGTTGATACATAACAGCATATTGTTTCTCTGACATCGACTGTAGATCATCATATCCCGTGACGGAATGTGGAGACCAAAAAAAAAAATATTTAAATTTGAAGTCTGTGAGTGACATTTCCGGCATTCTAGAGGTGCCATAATCATATATTTTCTTAACTTAGCCCCCAACCATAGTGGGGCTGAGGAGTAAAATAGACCCCTCTATTTCATGATTTCTGGATCCGCCGCTGATATTTATTTCGTCGTTAAAACACAATTGAGAAAAAAATAATAAAAAAACGAGCACATCTAAAGCCCCACGATTGGCGACCGAGACCCAAAAAAGTGCACAGCCCTCAGAAATCCACAGGGCCCCCGGTCGCAGCGTTACGCCATTGTAGAGCAGCACAGTAGCACTTATTAACTGTGTTAAAACATTTTCTGTAGTAACAGTGCTGTATTACCTTTCTTATCGTGCGTGAGATACAATGGATCAACGTTCATGGCGCTAATGAGCAATTCTTTCTGTCTAACCCTATTTAAATGAAGAAAAAAATAATGATTACTAGTTTGATTATACACATAATAAAGTCAACGTAACATATCAACTACTGATCATAACTTTAATATAACTTCTTTACATGATGTCATCGCTAAGAAATATATAAAAGACAACCGGTAGGTGAAATACCACACGATCTTCTCAAATAACATAAATGGTCCAGGAGGTATTACTGTATATCATTATGATCAAAGTTCCTGTAAGTTCGTGAAAAACTCGGCACTTTTGAGGAGATAATTTGTTTCTGCATTGGTTTAGGTTGAGACAAGAAACATAATATTGTCTCAGGTATAGATTTGTAGTAGGATTGAGTATTTTTGAAAGTCACTTCTCTTGGCTTCCTCTCATGGTGCAGTAGTCCGCTGCCAAGAGACAAACCCATTATAATTTCTTTGAAATACATACTATTAAATGTTTACTGTGTTTAAAGAAGGTACCACGCTAGTCTACAACATAAATATTATGCACTAAATTAAGTTGTCCTTGAGTTCAACCCACCACATTACGGAACAATCGAAGTTCACCATCATCCATTTGTTAGGGTTGAAGTTAAAGGAATCCAATAACTGAAAGAAAAACAAACATTAAACGTATCTGTCAGTTTGCTATAATTAATAGGCCTACATTATCAACATTCTTAGAATTTGGTGGTGCCCCGCGTTCATTCTAGGCCTGCATTCTTAGGTTGTCAAGTAGGTGTGAACTTAAAGTCGTTGACTTGTATTGTCATTTATTGCGTTATTAATTATTCAATGTCCTTTCTAAATTATATACATTAAAAGTCTGATTTATTGGCCTACGTGCGTTTCAAAATCTGCCACAGAGCACTCGACTTATGGGCTTATAAAATGCCTATCGGGAAACCGCAGGCAAAATCCAACTTCGTGTAGGCGTATTTGGTTTTTAACATTGTAAATGTCCGACTTCTTAAAACTCAGCTTATATAGATGAAATAATAATTTATCATAAATCGAATTAAATATGAATAAAATACTTACTTTGAAGCCTTTTAATAAGTAACTGAATTCCGGGCAGATGAGGGCGTTTCCTGCGTACGCTCCATCGCAGTGAAACCAAATGTTTCTTTCAGAACACACTTTTCCCAACTCCTCCAGGTTGTCACACGAACAGACACTTGTGGTGCCAAGGGTACCTACCACCTTAAATCCAAAATTATTCTCAAACAAATCAGTTTGCAATGTTTCACATAACTGTCACAGAAACAATTTAATTTGGTTTTTTTTTTTATTCAAGTTTATTTATCGTAGTTGTTAAAGACAACAATGATACTATATAACGATAATATTAACAATAGGAGAATAATAATAATAATCACAACGAATGATAATGATTACAATAATGATGGCAATGATGATGATATTGATGATGATGATAATAATAATGATGATGATGATGATGATGAAGATGATATTGAAGATAATAATGGCAATAATGATAGTTAAGTCAACATTAACACAAAGGTAATTTTGAAACTTACATAGAAAGGCACCAACCCTTTTTCTTCATCGTTCTGAAATAAAGATAATAAATGGACGTCCTCAACATAATACGGGTGAAAATACCAAGGAAACATTTTATAAAAATAGGCCTACTTACGTGCGTTATTAATTAACGCACCGGTAAGTGTGTACTTCAAGCACGTGGGTAATAAACATGTGCATATGTTATCAGTTGAGAATTACGATTAATGAGAAAGAAAACTAAATAAACATGTGACCGACAAAATTCTCTCAAAAATATAATTACAATCAATTAAGTCAACATGTGTCTGGTGAAAATTACCTTGATTGCGTGCAGTAGAGTTGATCCTCTGAGCGAATAGTTTTCATCAGTCGGTAGTTGTCGGAGTTTAACAAAACCGATCATCGTCGCCTTTTCCACTGATGAATGAGCCTACAACATAACACATACCTAAATAATTTTCTTCTTATTTTTTGTGTTTATTTTAATGCGAGCCGTCCATCCCATAAGCTGTGTGACAGGGACCTCGATACTCTCTCACACTCTAGGCCTATCTCTATTTTCGCATTCAGTAGGAATGATTTTTAGTTTAACCTGACCAAGTAGGTATATTGCCATAAAACATCGAATAGAAGCCATGTGCTTTATTTTTAGACCCTTGGATGGGCTTCTTTTCAAAATGAATATTTGGAATTACGCCTTTACGACATTTCCAACTGTGGAATTCGTAATTCTCTTTAATATTTTTGTTTTTGGCCTACTTCTAACCATGCTAGTACAATAATATTGATACTGACATGCTATCATAATCATCGAAGATAACGTCAGTGTCTGAATGTAAGTACTCTCTTGAAAGGAAGCCACCCTATCTTGATTAGAAGCCCATGAGATTCTTTTCGAGATGGGCTTCTTTTTGAAAATACTTTTGCAAACTAATGTGTGGGCTTCTTTTCAAAATGGACTTCTTCTCGAGAGTAAGTCCAATGGGCTTCTATTCGAGGTTTAACGGTATCATTTATATACTTCCTTGACCTGATGTGTTATGGCATTGACGAAAACACGTCAAGTTAGGACAGATATATCATTCCTATTGAGTTTTTGACAAAAATATTTCTCGAAAAGAAAGATATTTGTTGACAAAATCCTAATGTGATTTTGAAACCGGAAAAAATTTACTGCCTCGTGAAAGACAGCTAGAAATGTTTTTGTTAAAAATTAATTTATATTACACACACCTGTTTTGAGCAATACGCGACGAGTTTTGAAAGTAAAACTGCCTTATCTTCATCTGGATATTTGAGTTGCAGATCTTTAATCGCTCGGTCTCTAGCCGCTAAAAGACACACCAGAGTACATTCACTGGCCGAACCCTGCATCAGAAATAAACTTAATGTTATTATCTGAATGAAAATATGAATGTAATGTTTCATGTAGCAATGGACGTCTTTTGTCGGGAGAAGGGACACAAAGAACCTAACAAAACAATTTACTGTATCATAATGGATCTTATCCGTAGTTTTAATACATTTTAATAACTGACCAATCAGAACAGGGGGAGGAGTACGCGCTTGTCTCACAAACCCAGACCCAGACGATTTGTGAGACTTCAGCAATCCTAAAGGGGGTGGAGGCTTAGCGAAACTGCCATTACGCATTTAATTGCTTTATCTACAGAGAAAACTGTGCGTACTAATTAATCATGTAATGATGAAAAAAAACCCCCTAATTTTGTGTCAACATCACTTTACCTGTATTACGCCACCACCACGGCTTCCTTCTGTAGAAAACATAAAGTGCTTCGGTAGTTTCATCATCTTTGCTAACCAATCAACAACAATCATCTCCAGTTCAGTGCATGCAGGGTTTGCAGACTAGAAAAGCGAACAATAATGCATTTGATAATATTTTAGGTGGTTGAAAAGTTGTTTATTTGAAAAGTGTTCTTGTAATTATTACATCTGCTGCGAAAGGATAAGTATGCTTTCCAAATCGGTTCCCTCAATATAACGGGTTGCTTCTTCCGTAGCAGACCATGATCACAAGAGCTCTACCAGAAACTCATAACATTTAATGTTGTAAAGAACTCAGAGAAATGTTGGAGAAAAAAAAAACGTCCGAAGAACCGTATGGGACTGAATGCAATTTTTGAAACCATTATTGGCTAATAGTCGTAATAATAAAAACGTCCTAATAAAATAGTCTATATTATTAGAATTATTACTTTTATGTTGAACCAAAAATCGTACAATAGATTACCTGCAACGTTTCATTGGCAGACTGCCAACTTCTTCAGACTGAAGCCTGTCCTATTAGTGGTCTGGTTTGGTCACTTTGCACTGGATTGCGCCACAACCACCCTTGATGTTTGAACGGTGGTAGGTCTCTGTTAAAACCCTTTGGTTAAAAACATCAAGGGCGGTTGGTGGCGCAATCCAGTGCAACCTGGACCAAACCAGACCACAGCACAGGCTTCAGTCTGAAGAAGTTGGCAGTCTGCCGAAGTTGGCAGTCTGCCGATGAAACGTTACAGGTAATCTATTGTACGTTTTTTGGTTCAACATAAAAGTAATAATTTTAATAAAATGAAACTTTGAACCAGATTAATTTATTCAACACTAAAATAGTCTATAGTCTACTGTAGGCCTGGTACTTGTTTGATTCCTGTGATGGGAATTCACTAAACGCAATGGTTGACATCTTGCATTTAAACCAGGCCATTCTGGCATTGGTATTTTTGTTTTGAAGCAAGTTCCTTTTTTTTTTCAATGTGTGACACCATGGTGATTGGTTGGAAAAGATGTGTCATAAGTTGGCATATCGAAACTTACCCATGAAAATCCAACCGACCCAATAGCATCTGACAGCATGTCGGCTAGAATGGATGGGTACGAATTTCCAGCAGGAAAGTACGCATGGAAATGGCGATGTTGCCAATGGGTTACCTGTAATTACAAATAAATATAAAAAAATGAAAAGCAAATAAAATAAATAAAAGATTATGAAATCATACTGTAATAAAATAAAACCTTCATCCAATACTTTGTAGTAGGCCTAATATATAGTTTTTGGCTTTAAAGTACAAATTACAACTAGAAAAAAAATATATTTTTTTGCCAATTAAGGTGCATTTACACTGAATCCAAATTTTTGGATCGGAAGTCTACAAAACCGATCAGAAAATGTAAGAATAGGGACGCTAGCGTCCAGCGTGTTAAAGGCGGTCGGAATTTCAGTTTGGATCCGATGTGAATGCAGTCTTAAGCTTGCCGATCCGAAAATTCGGATTCGGTGTGAATGCAACTTTATAATATATAATATAAATTATACGCTTCCTGATTTATATTATTTTACTTAGTCTTTAAAAAAACAGTATGTTCAGTGGTCAGATTAAGGATCAGGGGCGGCGCCAGGAATTCCCCGACGAGGGGTCCAGCTCCCCGAGAAGGGTGTCCAAGCTCCCCGACAAGGACTCCACCTGTCTCTTATACACATCTAGATGTGTATAAGAGACACACCTCACACATACGGTAGAATTTGACAGCTCAGTAAGGCATACCTAAATTGTACTTTTGGCAGTCGAGATTTCATTCTTCCCCGACGACCTTGCTGGAAATTCCCCGACAGGGGGGTCCTCCCCCCCCCCCGGACTTCCGCTAGCGCCGCCCCTGTTAAGGATGTTATTATTAATGATTGAAAAAAATTCATTGGTTTTCCTGTTATATACAAAACATATAGTTTTATATAAGAAATTTTAAATCAAAGATGTTTATTATTATTATTATTATTACTATTATTAGTATTATTATTATTATTGTTATCAATATAGTAAAACGAAAATTTGTGAAACTGAATTTTGTCAATTAAATCGTGTAACTTCGGCCACACGATCTCCACTCCGTTTGAGGCTTGACGACGTGGTGACGTAGTCTGCCGATTGTCATACAGCAGAAACGCACCAACACACCGTCCGCCAACGTATTGTGTCCCAGGCTTTAGAAGTAGATCTATGATTTTTCTGATAAAATCCTGTCAAACATTGCCTCGAGTCTGACAAACATTATACAATATTTACCCCAGGCATAATGTGATCCTCAACATCTGTCATGATGCTAGGCCATGTATCTGGTTGGTCAGGTGCCTTTTCTGGAACCAGGTGTCTTAAGTAACCAGGCTTTACGTGTGGATATACTGGAAACTGTTCTGTGTTTCTGATATATTTGTTAATGTACTCAAGCATGTTGCGGCCATGTTTGATAAATGACGATCCGTCCATTTCTAAAATATTATCCTAATTTGAAAAAAAAAAAAATCAGAGTAATGTTACCGTACTCAAAACCTCATCCAACGTATTGAAAGTATTGTGCCAAAATCACTGAACCTTTCTGCCTTTTTATCGGGCATTGTTGTACACGTCTCGCGTCAAACAAATATTTTATTCTCCCATTCGTTAAATCCTCTGACCATCTCATATATGCTTTTATTTTGTTTTGATTTCTTGTCTGCGGCAAACATATTACACAGGCCTACTCCAAAATCAGAGTCTCTGTGTGTATTAATTCCAAAATATACATAAATCGGTATTTGATGTTCACGATCGCAAATATTCCAAAATCGCACTTGTCTAGTATCACCATAATTTCGGGACTTAGTTCTGTTGCTGACGAAAATACTCGAAATTGACGAAACTGGAGTTTTTTTTATATTTATGTATTTTCTATTTTCTATTTTATTTTTTTAATTTAAAATTTGATTTTTTTTTTATTTTTGTAGATTTTAGTAATATTCAGAAAAGGTCCGATTTTGAGTACTGATTCGGGTACAGAAAGTAGTTTCACTCGCCAAGACATCGTTAGGAAAGTCGAATAACGTGTGGAAAGCCGCTGTTGACATACTAGCACGTAAAAACATCATGGGCATAATAACAAGGCGTTGAAATTGACAACGGGAGTTTAACTTATGTAGAACATCTTTCTAGATTACATAGAGTATGATAGAAAATTACCAATTACAGTACATTCCAGCGTGGCATGTTAATGTACGTAAACATTATCAAACAGTTGGTCGATCGATCGATCAATCAATCAATCAATAATAAAGCAGTCAATCAATTATTATTCAACTGGACCCAGAACACAAAATTCGCAAACGTTGTGGTCAGAAATAACATTAACACAATTTTGCAATAATGTTTTTAAAGTTCATTTAGAATTTAATAGAGTTTTTTAAAAATACGGTCATAAAATTTTGCAAGTATATTAGTCAAAAATCCAATAAAAATATTTACACACCTATGTGTAAGTTATTTGACTAGGTCTACTTGTATTTGTCTAAAAACAAATTCTATTGTTGTAAAGCCAGTTTTTGTGTATCAGAATTACATCCATAAGTAATTGATCACTAAATAATAACAATTTGCAAAGAAAATATACTGTTTTTTTATATTTGAATGAAATATTGATATGAGTTACTAGTTGATGCATCTCAATTTATTAATAAATAATTTTGTATACTGTTTAAATAGTGCATTTGTTTTATGTAAACATACCCTACATGTATCAAAATATTTAAAAAATATATAAATTATATAAGCATGATTCATTACAGATTTATCTATAAATCCTTTTACGTCTACTACATGTATATTTTAATTACATGAAATTGTGAACAAAGGTGGTGATTTAACCACAAATGAGAGAAAACAAATCTTTCATAAAATTATTATGCATAAACATAATCACTAGAAAGCATTAAAAGTGCACGCATCAATATTCAAATACAAAAACATTATATGAAAAAGGTAAAACAACATCACAATTACATCGCATATTCTTATTTATTAAAAAATAAATTAAAAAAAATAAAACGCGCAATAAAAATTATTAAAAGTAGGGCCAATTATTTTGGCCGTTACGGTGCAATAATTCAAAAAGGCCTAATTATTAAATGATTTTGTATTGGTTTAACATTTACCTCAAGAAATGATCCAATGGTGTCTTGTCCTGTTGACTAGATGAAAGTAAATGCTTACGAGATGAAAATCTATTTTGATATAACGTGATTGGCCCGTGTGTTTGACAGTTACGTTGATGTTGGCCTTGATAGTGTAACAACGCCTGCCACATACAGACGTCTATTGATTCACATCAATTAGGCTCCAGAGATGTGCACCAACATCCGTATTATCAAAAATATATGTGACACAATCCGCGTTAAACATGAATTATATAATAAATTACACACGTAGACCATTTGAGAATGTCATATGACCAACCCATGACCAGGGTGCCGCTTGGTTTCAAAGCTTGCAAAAATAAACATTTCGACCCTGACACATCCTGCATATAATAAAGTTAAAACATTTAACAAAAGAACAGGGCAATTCCCAGTTATTAATGACGAACAGGTATACACCTCGATCGTGGGGCTAGTCACGCAGACACTCGCTGATATTTCTGTCAGTTATCTCTGGGAATGTGAACCGCAATTCAACCAATCGAAGAAATACCCGCTTTTATCTTTAAAACCACCTGTCGTACAGACACAAATCAAATGTAGTGTTTCAGTGAAAAAGTTAAACACAGACCCTCTGTGGTTAAACTTAACTCGGTAGAGCTGTGAGAAGTGTAATATATTATAAATAAGGGTCATTTTTTTTATACTGGAAGTGTTTTTAAGTTAAAGATCATCCAGGACAAGGAGGACAATGTTGCTACACTTTTTTTTTTATAAGAATACATTTTTATAAGAACACTGAGGTTGAAATTGCTTAAAAATTAAGAAAAAAATAAGAACAAATTGAGGTAGGCCTAAAGGTAAAATGTCAAATGAGATTTTTATTTTTAAAAACTAGAAAAAGCAACAAATATCTGTACCTTAGGTGCGACTAAGCGAAACAGGCCTACAGTAGATGTACTGTACTTGCCATACCTGTCATTGGGGCCATTTTCCGGGACCACTTTTACCTACATTCCAGTACAGTGTATAATGCTGTACAATAATAATTTTTTTATGTTCGAAAATTGTGTAAAATAAGAACAAAATAAGAACATTTTGAGCCTGAAATCGGCCAAAAAATAAGAACACTGAGCCTGGGCAAAATTTTACTGGTTCATATAAAAAAATATTGTACAGTACTACCTTTCTTTCACAAATTAAAATGGAGAGCAACCTGTCGCTCAGTAATTACATTTAGGTAGGGTTAGGTATATCCACGACCTAATACAGAGGTTGTGTGTTTTCTTCTTTCTATTTTCTTCTTTTCCTAATAAAAAAAAAACAACTTTCAGATAGACAGATGATTATTGAAGGGGAGATGGCCACCCACATTTCAGACAGGTGTATCAATGATTATTTCTAGGTGATGTCTATTGAAAATTTCCAAAACATTCGAAATATGAATACTGCATTGAAAAATTGGGTGAATATTATTAGTGGTGACGTCAACAGGGAGCTACGGTATATGGATGATATGGACAGCGGAGGTAAATCAAATCAACTTTGATGGTATTCACCATCCACCAGTTAGTGCAGGTCCTCACCTTTCCATCCCCCGTCATCCCCTGCCACTGAACTAATGAAATACAAATCGTGTTTGTCCAAGGCCAACAATCTATGTATTTTAAAGCATTTATTTCCGGTGTTTTATTATAAGATTATACAGATAGTGAGTCCAGTGGCGTAACGACGAGTCATGGGGCCTGGGGGCAAGAAAGTTTTGGAGGCCTTTTTCATATCAGTAAAGTATTTTCGCTCAACCCATTGTTATGGCTGAAAAGACTATTTATATTAAACAATGTCAAAAAATATTTTGACTATTTAACAGTAAAATCAACTAATATTTTGGACACACATTTTAATTTGAGTGCAACATGTAAATTAGGTCTTTGCATAATCGTCATTGGCGTACGTGCATTTCATTAGTGTTCATAAGTTACAAACTAGAAATGGTTCTTTAATGTAAGCCTCCCCATGGTCTGATTATGAGAACTGATTAGTAGTAGTTTGAAACTAATCAGTCTTACGAACTCTACTTATCGTGGCAACAAACAATTTTCAACATCAGTGACAATAAAAACAACATGCTACAATTTTAACTAAATTAGAAGTTTTTATAGGAATCAGTGGCGGATCCAGGGGGGTTCAGGCGAACCCTCCCCCCCCCCCCCCCCACTGTAAAGAAATGTAACAAAATACTACTGGGTCCTGGCTTACAAAAGGCATGCTGGATACCTCAGGGGCGGATCCAAACATTTTCTGCTCGGGTGGGGGGGGGGGGAATTACTGGGAGTCGCAAAGCAAATTATAATTTTGGTACTCCAGATGCACGGAAATGACCCTAATTCAGACTTTATATTTGGCCGGCTGGTCAACCCACCCCGCAGGATTAATATGCTACAGTATGTCTTACAGTCGAAGTCAGTGACACATTATGCTGTTTTGTATCAGCAAAACCCTTTTGGATCAGGGTGCTATAAAGCGAGGACCCTACCGGACAATATGGGTAGGGGCACCGAAGTGGCCCCTAAGGATCAGTGGTCCTTGTAGCAAATTTTATGAATAGGCCTCTCTAGACGCTCAGAAATGGCACTCTCGGACGGTAAAAATGCTTTTTTAAAGCACTCTTTCTCGACAAAATTATTGACTTCCTCCCGACGGCAGTTATGCTCCCTCGTATGCTCCTCCTCTCTCAGACACCCCTGGGGCGGATGCAGGATTTGGCGGTAGGGTCCACCACCTAATAATAATATTAATAATAATAATAATAATAATAATCGAACTCAACAGTGTGCCGTACGTTATCGCGCAGCCGATTTTATTACGACAGTCCCTCTTTAATACTTAAACAACACCTACTATAAGTAGGTGGCATTTCTGACAGAAAGAGTTGTAATTCGCCAGACCACCAGGCACTGCTATCACTTTTTATTGGCAAACGGTGCGAAGAGGTCTGGATCCGCGCCTACCTCTAGGCGCCCGGAAATTGCACTCTCATACCTTACAACAATACAATACAGCAATTATTTTTCTTAATACAATTTAGGGGGTGCGACCGCACCCTTTGCACCACCTCTGAATCCGCCCCAAACACCCCTCCCTTCACATGCGTCGGAAAGATCCGATCAAAGGATCTATAGTCCTTTATATATTCTATACTGGGTAGTCGCAAAGCAAATTATGACTATGGCACCTTTTAGATGCCCGAAAATTGGACTCATTCAGACTTAAAATTTGAAAATTTTATCTCAATTTTTTAAAATTTTGACAAATGTAGGGTGGCCCTGGCCGGCTGCGCACCCCACCCTCACTGGATTAATACAATATATGTCATACAGTCGCTGTCAGAGATACATTATACTGTTATAAACAAAGCCATTTAGGATCAGGGTGGTATATAAAGCGAGGACCCTACTGGACTCATGGGTAGGGGCATCAAAGGGGCCAATATGAGTCGGTGGCTTTCGGATTTTTGCACGAGAACGCGTAGGCGTTACTCCATGCTGAGCATGGATAACTGTTCTATGGCTGGGTATTACATTCCGGATAAAAAAAACTCCGTCTTTAGGTCTCCGCCTTTTGGCCTTTTTACATCCAGATTGATGCGTCGGGGATGTAGCGTTGTGTTCGATGTCAATCAATAGAAAATTCAAAATGAGTGAGTAGTAAAATAATTGAGCTCTCCTTTCGCCCTCTGCTGGAGTCATCACTGAACTCATGGGTACACTTTTTCCCTCTCTCTTTCTTCCCCCCTTTAAATCATTTTTTGGCGTGACTTACGGGGTGGGGGGGGGGGGGGGGGGGCGAGTGGTGCTATGGTGGTTGTGGCCCTCCCACAATAGAAAAAAATTTCATTTTTGGGTTTAAAATTGTGCAATTTGTTGCATACCCATAAATGATAATACAATTTTACTTGTATAATTCATTTTAAAGATCTAAACACCTCAGATGTCTGGAAATGGCAATAAAAATGCCAATTTTCAAATATTTGTAGTTAATTTCAACAACTTCCATGCAAATGGTACTTTTTAATAATTGAAAAAGTCATTTCTGGAAAAAAGGAAGTTCTTTCGAACCCCTCTGGGTACGGGCTTGCCATGTTATACTTTTATTAATGTTGAAAAATTTAGGGGGTATCCCTCCTCATCTTTAAATCCGCCATTATATAGATATTATTTTCATATTTTCTACTTCAAACTTGCCTTTCTTAATGCAAAATTTTAGGGTGTTTCTATTATAGACTTGCCGCAGTCTTGTCCATGTGAGAATTACAGTAGTGTTATTCGTTAAAAAGAATGAAAACAACTTTCAACAGCTATTGAGACTTGGGTATGTATAGAAAAACACCAAGGTTTGATTCCCTGTGATTTTTTTTGCTTTGTATTTTTTTTTTTTTTTTTGGTTAATACAGTATATTCTTGTCAGACATTCCTTCTTTTGTTTCACTAATATTTATTTATGGATTTACCTTGCTTGATGTTTTTTGTTTTTGTAGGCCCATATGGAGTGGAGTGGGTGCAGCAGTGCATACGCACATCATCCCCCCCCCTCCCCCACACAAAAAAAATTTGTGAAGACAGGAAAACATCTTGACAACAGAATTAATCACATATTCACACATAGTATGTCCTTTTAATTACAAAGTATCCTCATTACAGATACAAACAAGAACTTAATACAAAATAGAGAACATTTACTTAAGGTGACAGTACAGGCGTGAAGAAAGAATAACAATCAGATTAAAGAATTCACTAATGAACACACTTATATATCTACTGATTATAAAAAAAAAAAAAAAAAAAAAAAAAAAAAAAATAAAAAAAAAAAAAAAAAAAAAAAAAAAAAAAAAAGCTACTAATTAAAAAAAAAAAAAACAAGAAACAGCAAAAAAAAATACTTGTGAAATACGAATATAGAGTTTATATGAAGATAATTGTTTCAGATATACTGTACAATATACTGTACTGTAAATGAAAAATTAAAAATGTAAAGCCATGTTTAGACTATGAACAGGTTTTTTTCTGTTAGACCTCACACTCAAATGATCAGACATCTGTATGTACATCAACAGAATTTCAACAGACATGGAGAAACTTCAGGAGTGAAAGATTGATTCTTTGCATATCAAGACAGGATTTCCATATAAACATTTTCAAACATCCAAACAGGTAAACATAGCCTGTGTTCCTGGAAATCACATTCGGGAAATTTGTTTTTCCCTTTGTTTTCACGCTTCATAGGCAATTTAAATCGCGATTGTATCAATGGCCGTATTTGATTAGTTGTACTTCGTTAAACCACGCCTGCCTACGCAGTAGTAAAATCCTACAACAAAGACAACCAGATTCAGAAATCTGGCAAATACGCGACAAAACAAAATGGCGCATAGTTACTGCGATACACGCTAGCGTAATCAAGGTTGCTTCAGCTTGTTAGAGAATGTTTTTTTGACATATTGCAATTTTACGAACCAGCCTAATAAAAATAATACTCAACAAAATGAATCTGTTGAATACGGCCAATGTCAAATCAGACATGTCTGTTGAGTCTGACAGATAGAAATCTGATAGCATGAGTGCCAGGCTTAATGCATAATTTGGCAGGTGGCTTCCCAACTCACAAGACAACTGATGATAGATATAAAAAACACTAATAATATAATAAACATGTACAAAAACAATTTGAAATTGCTATATTTGTATCAAAACAATATTGCAATCATAAAAATCAAGGTAAATCTTAATAACTGAGACACATATGTTCATTGATAAGTATGAGGAATAATTATGATTATCTGTATTAGTACGATATACTGACTGCCTAGGCTGATGAAAAAAATATTTCAAACTATGAATCACCATCCCAGAAATCTATTCAGAAAATCTGTTTTAAAGCATTGTGTTAATAACTTAATTCCACAATATACTAATTTAATTTACATGATACAAATAAAACAACTGAAATTTTACACCATGTTTTCTCAATGAGATTGAAAATAGGGAGCATTCCATATGCGCAATGACGCGACTCTAGAACGGGTTCACTCATGCGTGACCATCCTATGTTTTTTGCACAACGTCGATTTGGTCAAACTGCGTCCTAGAATCCCCATGACCTCCTTGGTTCTACAAAATAGGTAATTCTTCCTACTATAGAATTATAGCTGGTGTCACTGGAGAGGGATGGTGTCATTTTCTGGGAGAGATTTAAATTTATTTTCCTACCTTTGTTGTCCTATAAAGAGATTTCATTGTTTTATGACTAGACAAATATTTGTTTTGTTTAATATTTTTGATTTAATTAATTTACTATTCTTAGTCCCTAAATTTGGGACAAATTCACTTTATATTAGAGCATGTAGTACTTAGATTTATGACAAATTACCATTGCTGGTGGTGCAAACTAGTAAAATTAGTATAAGTCTTGTGCTACAATCAATGATTTTATACAGCATTACACACTAATTACATATCAACCAGTTGTATGAAAGAAAATATACTGTTTTGAAAATGTGTGTTTGGATACCTACGAACTACAGTATCACAACCACGAACAACTAGGCTGTGGTTTAGTATAAGCATGTACATACACATAATAATCCATAGCAATATATTATAATTAATAGAGTGCAATTGTGTATGGATGAAACAGAAATGCCCATTCGTAAATCTTTTTGCAAGAAAATGACTGCTATGTCACCAGGACTGACTGGATAAACAAGTCACAGCTTTGGAGTACATATTGAAAACTTTATATGACATGCATAAATTCAAAGCATTCGCTCAAGTGAAGAAAATGCTGCACCAAAAACTTCAGTATTTTATTACTAGAACTTTACAGCTTTGCATGTGAAAAGGAATTTGAGTTAAGCTTTAAATTTGCAAAAATTTAATTCATTGGCGTTAGGACTCAAATGTACTCAAGTCTCCTTGAAACATTGTAGGTTCCTTTAAACAATGTTAAGTTTTATAAAAATTGATAGTAAAAAAACTTCTTTTTTTACCAGGCATGATTACCACCATAACAAGTGCTTTGTTTATATTAGCTAATTGATTGTATTTTGATTCTTAATAACTGATTCTACCAAATAAAAACTAATTTGTATCCCTTATCGTAAATTTTCTAAAACAATAAATGGTAGTTTGGTGGACTGCACCTTTCATACGTAGTATATCCTGACCTTTGACATACTGACCAACAAGTTGTCATCAAAGAACTTGGTTTCTATCACAACATTGCCACTGAAAATATTAAATAATAAGAGATGATTTTTATGTTATGTATCCATGTAATAAATTACCTATTAATAGTTTTTAATTGTATACGATTCATGTGTGTGGATATTTACTTTCTATCAGTAGCGTATCCTGAAGTCTTGAAATGAAGGTGCTGATGGGGTGGGAGGTGAAGATGAAGTGGGGGGCTCAATGATCGGTTGAGTGGTGCTAATTTGCAAAATAAGGTGATTTTTGACTACTTGACCGTGATTTTCTTTTTTTTGGGGGGGGGGGGGGAGGTTTTTTGGGGGGGGGGGGCGGAGGGGAGGACTGGTGCGAACAAGTAATTTTTGGAGGGGCGTGCACCCTCTGCGCACCCCCTAGATACGCTACTGCTTTTTGTGTTCTATTTTTAATGACTGACAAAAAATGTCAGTACCAGCTGATGTTCAAGAAACATCTACCTTAAACACTACTAAAAACCAAGTGTTTAGGAAACATGCATGCATAGAAGACTACTAAACATCAATTTATTAGGAAGCACATACCTTAAAACACTATTAAACATCAAGTGTTTAGGAAGTAATACCTTAAAACACTACTAAACTTTATTTGATTAGGAAGCATATACCTTAAAGCACTATTAAGCATCAAGTGTTTAGGAATACCTTAAAACTCTACTAGACATCAAGTGTTCAGAGGACACTTACCTTAAAACACTAGCAGGCATCATCTGTGACTCAGGAGCTGCTTCAATCAGTGACTGCCATGTATTTGTTGATGATGGTATCACAAATCCAAAATCAAAATACCATTCTAAAACAATATGTATAAAGAACAAATACCACTAAATGTTTATAATTATACAGAGGGTTAACAACCACGTTCAGTTCAGAAATCTAGAGCATGATTAGATTTGTTAGTTCATCATGATCAGAAATCAATCAATCAATAAAACAATCAATGATTCAATCAATCCATTTATAGTGCCATTTGAGAGAATGATGCATATGAATGATGAAAATTAGCCAAACCAGTCAATCTTCAAAAAGAATGAGGATGACGCATGGTTGCGGGTTCACTAGTGCTGGGCGCCAGGACCGATTGTTCCATTTCGTTTTCAAGGGGTGTTCTCTTTTGGGAGAGATTAGGCAATTAGTCAGATTATCCAGGTACAGGTAAGTATTCACAAAGTAGACCTACAGGCATGATTTGATTGGATAATCATTCTGCACAGGTTAGGTATCCCATAATAACAGACTCATACTAGAAATAAAAAATATTTAACTTAAAGCTTCCTACCTTCTAGGCATTTGCCTTTAAATAAAACTTTCTGTTCAAGTCTAAACTTTTGCATTTGTTCTTTGGATGAGAAGTTGATCTCGCGTGATACAGCACGACATTTCAGCACTTTCTTCGGTACCCTTGCTTCATGCTCCTTCTCTGGTATAGACCTATACACAATTTTTTTAGTATTATTATTACAGTTTTCTTTGTAATTAGTTCATAAAAACAACAATAATAATAATAATAATAATATTTCATAACAAAATATTTATAATAAAAAAAATAACAGCAATGCCAATAACACAGGGTAAAAATAAGCAGTTTAACTTACAGATCTTCATTTCCTTGCCAAAGAACTTTACCTGTGTCTGCATCGCGAAGGTTCATCCAATTCCTAAGGATTACGTCAAGGTTAAATAATGTTAAGAGAATCTGAGATGCTATTCCATTGGCCTACATGTAAGCATCCAAAAGGATCAACAATTTCATACACAGAAAAAAGTAATACTAAACATCATTTATGTAATTACAAGCACATTTTACAAAATGGAAAAAGTTTTCAGAAATTGTGCAGTAAATGCAGTTTTGATTGGATTAAAAAGGTGTAATGACCATCCCCATTTACAGGGCAATGTATGGTGGCCAGAATTAGTCTGTTGAGGCGCAATGGACGATGGCTGGCGTCTACAGCATCACCAATCCCCAATGCAGAGGACAACATGTGGTGGCTACACCCAAGTATTGTAGAGAGCACATTGGGCAATGACTAGAGTCTAATCCTCAGCCATGTGGAGGAACAAGACAAAAAAGACACGCATCTCCCTTGTGGATGTGGAATGAGCAATGGCTATTGTACAGCTACTGTGCTACCCGTCCCTGTGGAGGTGCAAGGGACATGAATGATCTATCACCATGGCATAACCTGAGCATCCTAACAGTTGTTAAAAGGTCTTGGTTTTGAATCCCCTATATATATTACAGTATATAATTTTAAAACTGTTTTACTATAGATGGAAATCAAATTTTCTGTAGAAAACAGCAGTAACATTTATTTAATAGCAGAATTTGTTTGTACTTTTAACACACAAAACATTGGATTTAAGCCAACTCAATGAGAGTAATAAAGAGCCAATTCACATGATTTTGAGTGAAGAATGCATTCTTACAAAATGTGGGGTCAGACTACGCTCCACATATTATACTGATAAATTTACAAACGTGGAATTGATCAAGAAGAGAAAAAATATCTATCTATCAAAGGCAATCATAAATGTTATCATATTATATAGTAACTCATTGAGTAACATGATTCTGGGTATCAACATCATTAGTTTAGGGTTAACAACACATCCATTAATAATAATATTCTTCATTGACATTAACTGTAGAAAGAGTTTATCTTAAACTAGGGAGAAAAATGTAAGTACTGCACCTGCATACTTTCACAAAAAAAAGAGAAAAATATCACTTTGTAACGTATATGGTGGCCAAATTAAATGTTATTTACAATTCAATATAAATGGATTTACCAATTAAAAATTGATGATATATGATAAAAAATACAAAAAAATATATAACTTAAAAATAAAATAACAATAAAAATTTTTTAGCAATTAAAATTTAGCACTTTAATTTAGCATTTTTAGCATTAAAAATATTTAACATTTTTGCATAGTAATGTTTTAAAAAACATTTTTAGCGACAATTAACTCATGCATACTGGATATTTTGCGCTATATTTTCACAGTTATTTGCTTTAAAGCTTACAAAGATGAGACCGCTCAATGCAACTGTGCATAGATGATAGGCCTATTGTTTCTTTTATATAGTGAATAATAGACTATTTAAGGCTTTTGAAGCTTATAAATATTGAACTGAAATTGAAATACTAACGACAGGATTACCATTTATTTGTTGTCGTAAAATAAAACGGAATAAAAATACAGTAATAACCATCACTAAGCAATACTGTAATTACCAAATTCCTCGTATTTTTGTATTCTATACATGTTTTATTGTTCTATTTTACTATGAAACTCATTCCCAGATTGTTTCCCTTATAATGTATTGCATCCTTTTAAGAATATTAATTTGTTTTTAATAAATATAAAAAATTAACATAGCCAAAAATGTACTATTTTAATCAATTTCCTTATCACGATAGACTGTCCTTGTCCTTGGCTTATATAGCTAAATTTCTTGGGTGAATCGTCATTAAAAAACACACACAATGATTACAACTATATCACAGCTACTACTTTATCTACTTAAACAGATATCAATTATCAATAGATGTGTAAAACACTGCAGGTCTATGGCGTCCTAAAGCTTTTACATTTACCTGGGGACAGCTTTCTTCAAACTGTCATTATTAATTATCTATTTTGTAGCTGACCCCTGTAACAATGTTGTTTGACCTTTTTCAAAGTCCCACACCACACATTCTTGGTCCCCAGTCTCCCCCTCCTTCACTGGAAATTTGCTGAGCAAATAAATTATGCTCAAATAGTTAAATGTTAACTCATATAGATCTATTTTGCATCTAAGCCCCCGCACTTAAATATCGAACCCCTAACAACATTCACTCTCCTCAGCCCCTTCTCCCTTCCTTTTTTACCTGTGTCAATACTACTCCTGCGTGTAGGCCTACGCCAATGCTCCATTAACATGCAAGAATACATTTTAATCTTCACTGGTCAATTTATTTTTCATATTTAATTTTTTTTTTTTTTTTTTTTAGAATCCAAATTTGTATGGTGCCTTCCACATTCCGGAGAATATACAAAGGCGTTGGTATCAGTATTTCCCTGGTCACTGGATACATGGTTGGCAAACTAGCACATTTTTGTGCGATTTCCTCAGCTCCGTGGGGAATATCCCTAGTCATACTGCTTTTACACGCACAAGCACATACGTTCAATGCCAAACCATCCTACCAGGTACCCATTTATAATTCTGGGTGAAGAGAGGCAAACGTAAGTGCCGTGCCCAAGGCCACTAAGCAATGCGACAAGTGTCGGTCTTGAACTTCATGATCGGTCATGATCAGAAGTCCAACACCTTACACACTCCTATATAAAGCTTTACATTTTTCAATATATAATTTTTCATAAAAATAATTGTATTAACCTCTGGGAACTCTATATACTGGGGGAATGGGGTCTCTTTGGCTTGGGCTTTACCTCCTGAGGGCCCACAGGTGTGACGCCCATGGAAAGAAGACAGGAGGTCCATGATTGTGAGACAACCAGTCCACTGGCACCACCACTGGTACTACTGTACCTGTTGTGTATGGTTATTTACTGATTAAAGGATACAATGAAAATCCTTTCATGATAGCTTCTGCTCCTGGTGCCATCTTGAATCTTCAGGTGCTGGCACCACTCCAATTTTGCCAACAGATTGTTACGCCAAGGGTCGATGACTAAAATCTAAAACAAAACAGTGTATTTATCATTAATTACTATTCAAAGGGACAGGGTGTGACCAAGAAGTACTGTATGTGATTTTGTGGATAAAATGCTTGCCTTTCATTTTCAACATCCTGGGTTCAATCCTGGAAGAAAATTGTCAGATCTTTTCTACTACCTGAAATTTTGAAGATCTAAAAGTTGTTTTTTTTTCATGCATTCTGATCTTTCAAGGTGTTTGTAACTTTCGGAAAGCCTTTGTATGTCAACATTGTTGATAAAGTCAGCACCCAAAAGAAAAATTGACACAAAAATACACAATTTATTGGTACCAAAGAGCAAATATTAAAAGCTGTTTTTGGTATTTCTGGTTTATTTCTGAAAACTCAGGAGACTCCTGATCAAATCGGAAGGGTTGGAACATATGCAGATGTCGGCTAACTCGTACACATGCCACCTCGTACACACTTTGGCGAACTAATACACAGATTTAGGTGAACTCGCTCGTACACATGATTGGTGATCTCGCACACATGACATGACGATCTTGTACACATGACTTTAGCAAACTTGTACCCAAATGCATTTTTGCTAGGGTCAAGTTCTCTTAGTTTTTCGATTAGACGAGATCAAAGTACCTGCATCAATAGGGTCGTCAAAGAACAAACTGCCAGTGGGATAGGTTTGGATGGCAGAAAACATGCATTCTCAAAAAAAAATAAAAAAATCTTAACAGATTTTCAGTTGTAAAAATACATTTTCGGGTATCTAGGGAAAAACATTTGGTGGGGTGGGGGGGGAGAGAGGGCATGCCCCTGACATCCCCCTATGGTATGGGGTTTTCATAAGTTTCGTGCATTACTGTAGGGCCTACTGTAACATGAATTTATTAACAATTATTTGTATTAACTAGACCTATTAGTATTAAAGTTTAATATCACTCGGTATTATTTTCATTTTTCAGAAACAACGCAAATGTTATTAAGTCAACTAGGTTTAAGACACGTTTCTTTGTATCGTTTGTTGTGATTTATTTTGACTGCAAGTTTATTATTGTTTAAATTAAATGGGGATTTATGAAATAAAGTAGGCCTAGTCAATAGATTAGTTTGTCATCATTTGTTTTCTTGTCCTTTCCCATTTACCATAAATGTTCTGACCATGTTTATAATAATACATAAATATCAATGAAAATATACTAAATGATGATAAATGATAATAAAGAAAATATATAGTATTTTCATAGTTTTATTTTCCATATAAAATTATCAATATCAGTGCATACTGTACATTTTACATACAAGTTGCTGTTTCAACCTTCTTATTAAAAGCTGGAAAAATTCACTACTTCGAGACCTACTACCTGTACTTCTCTGTTATAAGCACCTCAAGGTTGTGTTATTTTTATTACTAGTTGCCTGGAAACTAGACCTAACTATAAAAAAAAATGAAAACTTCCCACAACCAAATAGGTTCCCACGGTACTCTTTGTATGCCACCTTCAAGAATGTGGGAGCATTACTGCAAAGATAAAAGTAGGTCAGATGTTAAAAAATGGCTATTTTTATTTTCTCTAGAGAAAAACACACTAATAATTTTATAGCGCCCCCTCTCAATGAAAAGGTGAAAAAAAAATCATAAGTAGGTTTTAATAAAAGATCAGTATGACTATTTCATTAATATTATCAAAATACTATACATTTTGCATGAAGTTTAAAATACAAGGTAAATCTTACACAAAACTTGTGTAGCCTATGATGGGCTAGCCAACGGTGTATACGGGCTCGCCAAAATGTGTGTACAAGTTGACATGTGTACGAGTTAGCCTGTATTCACATAGGGCCTAGGCACTACCTAGCAAATAACTACAAGGGCTAGGCCTCCCTCCCTGCCACACACAATCAATCAAGATGATTAACATTTAGGCCTAGACCCTAGGCTAGGCCTAGGAGGTAGCTTTTATTTTTGCATTTATTAATTAGGCCCTAGCTAGGCCTCTCTCTCTCTCCAGGCTAAGCAAGGCATAAGGTTAGGCCTAGCGTAGCAAGGCCCTAAATACGCTAGTAGGGCTCTAGGCCTAGCCTAGGCCAGCCCAGGAAAATGTTTGGCTAGCCTACTCGTGTGTATGAAATATTACTAATAATAACAACAACAAACCTCGAAAGAAAAATACCTGAGATGAATCTGTAGTTATTTCATTTGCGTTCCAATATTCGTGTAAACAAAAACAGCGTCTTATTGAATGATGGCCAACAAGTACCAAGCCTACCTTTTTCCAAGGCCTCGGTGGTCGATATACCTCACGAGTTGTCACCTCCTCCAACTCTCTTTTTCATTCAAAGCGTCCTTCGCGATGACAGTGGTTAAGATGGCGTCATGTAATAGTGTAGTTCCAGTACGGATTAATATTATATCACGGACAAACACAATGAGGCCACCATTAGTTGGTGGACGGACCTACATTTTGCTGCTGCACAAATTCATTAACGCGCCGAATTGTGTAGGCCTACTGCAAGATCGTCGGAGGAGGGCGAAAAAAAAAAATTCTTCCTATTTAGCAAATAGTTTTGCCAAAAAACAATTCGACAGAGATGAAAATAATAATATAATTTTATTGGTGATTGTAAACTGTTAAATGTTAAATATTTCAAATTTATATAATTAGGAAGAAATGCCTACATCGCATTTTTTGAGATTTCAAGGCAGCGGGCATAATAAAAATTAAGAGAAAAAAACTTTCTAAAATTTCCATTTTTTCAAAACGCGGGTGCGCTAATTGGCCGAAAATAAAATGTTATTCAGTTAGAAACCATCATTGTTGTGGTGGCGGGTTCATTGAAACAAGGTATGGAAAAGTCTTCATGGAAGGGATTCCCACTTATTAAAAGAATGATTAATATCGCTATAATTGGCAATCACTGCCCCAAGGGCCTGTAACTGAATAAAGTAAAAATAAAATACGGGATTCAAAAGTTTCATTAGACATCCTCAAAAGTTTGATGACAATATGTGCCCATCTTCAGATAAAAATGGTTAAATATAACAACGTTATTAAAATAGTAACAATATGTTATAATCTTATCAAGCATAGCCCTTCAACTTCAACGAATAGTTCTGTTATTCAGTTGTATGAAACTTTAAAAAATGTCTCCGGCGGGATTCGAACCTGCAACATCTCGCTGTCAGGGTGTGTCATATCCATAACTTATTAAGGAAGTTATCACCTTTCTAACTATTATCACTTTTCTACTGCTGTTTGTCAAGGGCAAGCTTTTGTTAGAAGACTACGTAATAGTAATAATAATAATAATATTTTGAACCAAGTAAAAATAATCCGTCTTTGTTTGGTAGTAGTTTGGTGTGTTTAAGTATTTTCATGGTTTGTTGTTTTGCTTGTATCTGTTTAAGTGGTGTTCTGTTCTCTCTTCTTATTGATTTGATTGAATTTTGTATTTTTAGAAATTGTCCAATTTCTTCTTGGTTTTTATTTTGATTATTCTGGTATATGTATGAATAAATTATCCTTTTTAAAGAAATTGTTCTATTGTTTTAAAGTTATTGTAGGCTTTACTACTTTAACGGTTCCGGAGGTTTTCTGAATAAATTGAAATTGAAATGAAATTTGAAATGTGAGCAATAAACCAGAATTTTCTCCCCAAATCCTTAGAGTGAATCGGTGATACTGCATGTGTTACTATACACCAATCGTGTCAATTTTGACCCTTAACCATTTGGATATCTTTTTCTTTGTGTTTCGTGTACTTTTAAAGGATTCTAATTCATTCATCATGAAACAATATTGGGAACATATAAAACTACTGTTGTTTTAAGTACATTCCTGCTGATTTCATATTATAAATGAAATGTATTTACCTTGAAAATTATTGCTATAAATTATTTATAATTTACTGTAATTAATTATGTTAATAATAATTATGAAGAATTGCTTGTATGTCATCGTTATATGAAACATGCCAAAAACCCATATTAATGGGACAATTTCACGTTTTGGTTAGGGGACATTAAGGGGACACTTTTTGGTCCCGAAGGTGTCCCCTTAATATGGGTTCTACTGTATTTAAATTAGGCACCTGGGCAGGGATCTTTTAGGGGGACAGACGCCGGGGCCGGTGGCCGTGAAGGGCTCCCGTTGGGGTTGGATCCCCCAGCTGCTCCGGCGTTTTAGGGTTCTTTGACGTATTTTAATGAAATTTTTTACACATTCGAATTTTAAGTTTATGTATCGTGATTTAACCCCAAAGAAAACATACTTAATTTTAACTAAGATATCACTAATAAACATACTACAATAAATACAAAACTGCTGCTCTCAGATATGCAGCAAATGTTACAGGCGACTTTGAAATCGCCGCTACCGCTTCAAGTTTCAACAAAACGCAGACTGGCGATAGTGATAATAATAAATATTACTCGGCAGACTTTGTCTTGGAGAGGGCCTTGGTTATTTTGTAAACAAAACTAGTTGAAGTTGCTGGGTGCCCTTTGAGGCTCCTGGTCCCCTGGCTTTATCATTGTGATATTGTCATTGTGATCATAGTATTCACATTGTTATATTCAGAAATGAAATTTCACTGTAATGGGATGAATAAAGTCTCCTTGTATCCTTGTAGCCATCATTGTGATCATTATCATCATTGTGATCATCCACATCATAATGGGAAAATAAGTTTAGTAATTTAAATTAACCATTATGGTAGACTGTATTAGGTGTGAATCTAGGCTGTGATTTTATTATATGATGCTTCAAGATGATATGAACTTCAAGTTACTGGCTTCAATCATGAAAAGGTATGTCACCTGACAGGATTTGAACCCAGGATCATGGTTTGGAAGTCAAGCACATTACCGACTAAACTGCAATAAAAGTAAACTAAAATAAAAGGGGGCAAAATCGATCTGGTATTTACTATGTGTTTATTCTGGCAATATAACCATTTGCAAACTAAGTACTGTAACACAATGCTTTACTATTTGCAACACACTTACATATCAAATACTGTAGTCTACTATTATTATCTACATAAAAGAATCTCAACATGGCGCAAACACTTGTTAATCCTCAACAGTTCGCAGGGATTGTAATGAGTTTTTAACTGGTACGTAAAGGTAATCTGAATCTCCCCTCTGTCTCATTTGTCGTTTTATTTCTTTTTCTTGTTTCCTGGGGGAAAACAAAAAATCAAATTCAAAACAAAGAAGGATTAATCACTTTACACTTTGCAATAAATGCATAGTCTTCACACTTATTCACTTTCTCCATGTACCTGTAAATAACTATTCATAGGATCTAAACACACATGGAACATCTACTAAGCTCCTTTAGGAGAAAATATAACTTTAACTGGTATTGTGGTAGTGTTTGGCACAGAAGTTAAAATCGGTGGTTGGAATCCTACGCTGGAGATTCGCATTTTTTTTAAGCCAGGCACACGCCAACAGTATTTATGAGTGCATCTCCACTCTGTTGAGTGCTTCGATACTCTGATCATAGTTAATTATACGATTGTATGCGGACACCTTGTCGCACTGCAGTCATGATGAAACCGCATCCATGATTGTTGTTCGAAGCAGTGTGTGCCCAAAATAACAACAAAATGCTCAATTTGAACTGACCTTGCCATTGCTTTGCCAAATTCGTATTCCATCACATGTGCACACTTTTCATATTCTTGCTGTGGACTAGGTTTGATGTATTTCGCAATAAAACGGGTGATGGGATGCTGAAATAAAAAAGTTATACATTTTCAAGACTGGCGCTGTATGATTAAAATATATACGAGCAAAAAACAATAGTATCACTAATACTTATCAACTTCAATTCTTGATGAGGTAAAGGTATTCTACTAGTTCCAGATTTAATATTCTTTGATTAAGAGAAACAAATATAGATGTCTCCCTAGGCATCTCCCTACAGAGCAAAGACCTCAGCCAATGTTGGAAGATTTACAATTCTTTCTACAATTTTCTTTCTAATTTTTAGATGTGTAATTAAAAGCTCTTTTCAATAAATTTGTGAAACATTTTAAATATCTTTATTTGAGTACACACACAGCTTTATCAACAAAATGAAATATTTATGATTCATATACATAAATACATTATTCTCCATTTGTTTATTAGTTTACCAACAGACCAATGTAAACCAAATATACCTGGTAATACTCCCAATGCTTTGGAATATATCCTTCAGGAATTTCAGCAAGCTGTGCAGGACCTATAATAGAAAATAAATTATACAATGTTTTCAAACTTTCATTAACTTGCGTATAAGGCGATTCGTGTGTAAGATGACCCCCAAGTTTGAGAAGATTTTTGGACGATATTTGTATTTCAGGCGTATAAGACGACCCTCTGTTTCATCATCGGAATTCATACTTTTTGTTGCTTTTTATGGTATTTATATTCTGCATCCCGCTGGCTAAAAATGGAGCCAAATGTAGGCCAATATTTCAATTAATACCTTTTTATGGGCTTTTAAATTTTCATCAAAAATTTTATTTCCCTGCATTAGTAGCTCATTTCAGTAGATAATTAATGTGTTACAGATGATCCACACAAACAGTACTGTAAGACGAACATTATTTAAAAATCAAAAATGTCTATGTGTTTCTTGTATAAGATGAGAACCTGTTTTTCAAATTTGCTATTAAGTGTCCCCTTATACATGAGAATATACGGTAGCTATTCCTAGCTATAACAAAGACTAATGTTCTAAGCTTCATAATCAATAAATCAACATAAATAAACACAACATCTACAAGTATAATATAAAAAAAATACAATAGCTCTAATGTTGTTTTATTTATAAAAGTAGCACAACTTACCATAAAAAACATTTATGTACGTAATCACAATACTTGCTGGTACGCCAGTCAATGCTGCATAGAACATCTTCGAAAAAAAAATCACAATTTTATGCTAATAAAACTGAATAAAATGATGACATAACATTCATTTCTTTAAATAATAATATACTGTACTGTAAATTTCAATTAAGATTTTTACCATTACATGTATTATTAAGCTTTTTTGTCTTGAATTAAGAATTGGAGATGTTAAAAACTTAATCTTAAATTCACTATTATCAGTAATTATTATTACGTCAATATTTACTAATTATAATATTAAACATATACAGTACTCACTGCCCTTTTGATGAACCTTCTGTCAGTGTAGGTACTTGAAAGTGGAAAGAACTTCCTTGAGCCACCTCCAGCCATTCCTCTCGTCAATACTTAAAATAATTTAAAAAAAACACTCAGTGAAACAACAAATTTTTACTATATTGATTATATCATTTTTCATTATCATACTTCTTAAAACAGACTGAGTTATGTCTATGTAAAATACATTATATAATCAAACACCTGTCTCTTATACACATCTAGATGTGTATAAGAGACAGGTATGCGGAATCCGTGTTGGATTCCGAAGCCCTCGGCGACCTTCCCGTGATCACTGAACCTGAGGAAACGACGGGAACTGGATGGAGAGTGGGCGACCGCGAAGGCCCTCCATCTTGTGTAAGCATCATAGCATAGCCTGCCTTTAGTCTATCTTAGCTACTACTATACAGTACTGTAAAGCCTTCTCCTAACTACCGTACTCGCGCGAATAAGCACCCACCTCAATTTTCAATAAGCCTCCTCGGTTCCTAAAAAATTTTAATCACACAGTACAGTGCACTTAACTTTCTGCATCAACCATTCGCATCTATTTGCATCTATTTTAGCATTGTCGGTCGGTCAGTCCATTTATCCATCTGTCTGTAGGTCTATCAGTCTCCATTAAGTTTAACAAGGTTTTCAGTTTGGATGCATCTTTAGAATCCCGTTCTTGTTTTATTGCTACCCTTTTTGGATTTAGAACTACAGTATTTAATATCTAAAAATTAAAATATTGTATGGCCATTTTTAGTCAACAAAAATAAAATGACCTCATCACTCCTGTATCTAAGCAAGAAACCCTGCAATGATCCTGCTAATCTGAATTGGCAGATGGCCAATACGCTTACTACCACCACCACAAATTTCATCTGCTGTTGTATAAATACCCCTAAACATTCTTGTCATGCAAAATGCTCTCTCGACGATTACCTTTTCTTCACCAAAACCATTCGTTTATCTTCGATTAAAAAAAGTGTCCCTTGAATTTCCAATTTCTCTTAAGTACCCCTTCAATTTTCGGTAATTTTCATCTATTTCCATAGGATACATAAAGGCCAACGCCCCCCCCCCCCGTTTCCACTGTTTTCATAAGCGCCCCGTTTGAATTAGCGCCCCTAAAAAAAAGTGAAAAATATTTTAAGGTAAAATTCGAGCGAGTATGGTAATATGCCTAGGTCTAGTTAGGCCAGCTAGGCCTTCGTACCCCTGCCTGCCAGACAATCCGCCGCCGGCGGCATACCTAGCCTACAGTAGGCCTACTCTTTTTGCCGAGAAACTCCACCGGCACCAGACCAGCCGGCGGAAGGCTTAGCCTAGCTAGGGACCTAGTAGAAGGTGACTTCTCTGCGTAGCTTGGAAGGAAACAGAACATAATTGAGAATAAATCTGAAACAATTAATTTAAACACTGTGGTAATAGATACTTACCATTTGTTAGTGTTGGCGCTGATTTAATTGAAATTCTGTGCAGACATCGCGAAATATTGATAGCATTCGCCATCTTGATTCTACTAATAGACTTTGTGTCCAGCCGTCCCTGAAATTAAAGAATGTCCTATGGAACGCTATTTATGCCATTATAATTGATATTTTAACAGTTCAAAAGAATCCTGGAAAAAAAAACATGCTGCTCAAGCAGAACACATTCTGTCCCTACATTACATTCGTCCAGGATTCAGAGTCCATAAGGGAACCAAGAGTTAATGTAGCTCAAAATAAATAAGTAAAATTAATTAATGATTACAGAAAAATCATTATATTCCGATTACATCAATTTACATATATTGACTTATAGTTGTTTTCGACATCTTCGTATGTATAGCAACGCTGCACATCCCTGTGTTACTAACAAAGTAATCCAAAGACTGACATATTTGTGAATATTAGCATGATCGGGAGTCCCAAACCCAGTGGAAAAGTTTCATGACTGTGTCATAAGCCGGATGGGCCCATTATTGATTCATCAGCTTGGGTTACGCTTGACCCGTGTTAATTATTGTATTCAGACAACAGTGCCATCTTGAATCAAACAACAGTTAGTTTGAATCAATTATCAATCTTAGATCTTAGTATTGTAGGACAGTTGAGGAAGATCATCAATCGAGACGTCCAGGTTAAAAGCCTGGTTTCCATACAGTCGCTACACGCTATCGCCGACCGGTGATGCTGATTTGTCAGTCGAATCCGGGAGCCTTTCTGATTGTGTTGGGGAATGCTCTGGAAATACTGTAGCGACAGTGTTGCGATTTTAAGGCAACCAGGCATAAGCGTATGTTTGGTTCAACAAAAAATGAATCATTTCATAAACACAATAAAGTTTATGTTGCATTTATGCTGTGGGTCTTAAAGTAATAAAGATATAACAACAAATTTATTCTCAATGAAATTTGCAAATATTTATTATCATCATCATAGTTAATAATTCCTTATGTCTAACAGCAAATGAATAAATATAAATTAGAAATAGACCAACACAAGCTGCACGCTGATTTATGATTTCTTTTCTATAAAATGTCTGTAAATCAACTATTTTTTTTTACTGCTTTCTGATTAGAAGTTATCAGCTTAATGTGATTCATTTAAATGAGCTATTCAAGATTCTACTATAATTTTTGAATTTCCTGCCTTTTCTTGGCAGACATGATCTCTAATGTATGACTTTTCTGTGTGTTCTTATTTTTCTGTCAAATTGTTAGTTGTAATCCATTATATTGTACATTGTATTAATATGATTGATAATATATCAGATTATTTATTTGATAATTAAATATGCAATTTTATGTAATTATATTCTATTCGACAGAAATCATTTATTAAAATTTTGGCAGTGGCGTATCTACCAGTCTTGAAATGGGGCTGATTGTTTGGAGGGGACGTGAAGGTGAAGCATGGGAAATGGTGAAGTGAGGGATGTAAGCTTGGGAGGCCAAGCTTTTTGGAGATGGGGGCGTGCGACACCCGTGCACCAGTAAATACGTCACTGCCTTGTGAAAAACTAGTTTCATTCTCCCGATTTTTTTGTATTGTAATCACTATTACAATACATACTCCAAGATTTGTAAGGCACGCCATCGTGTTGATACTTGGAGTGTATTATACTATCTTATCTGGTATTAATCAGTAATTCGGTAATTACTATAATTACTGTTTTGCATTACAAATAAACGAAATGAAAAATGAAACACCAGATGGGCTATCTTACAACCAATGTCTTAAGTTTATAACACAAAATAATACAATATTACACTGTTAAGTTTGTAAGTATAGATGGTGAGGTTGTATAGCCTTGAAGAAAGATTGTAATACAAGACAGTCCGGAGTAATAACGCATGGAATGCACTTAAGTATTAAACATCCAAATTATACAAATGCAACTATTTACAAAAGCAATGCAACTTACATATTTGCAGCAGATTCAAAGAAAACCATTAATTTCAGTTCTTATAATTATACTAACTGTTTCATATGTTTCACCAAACTGGAAATACTTTAACTTTCCAAGTTTAAATATTCCAATGTCTCCTAGAATTTGGGATGAGATATATGTACATCTAAATTTTGCACAGGTATTTGGAAATGGTTTGAATATTATTTTAGGAAAATAAACTAGTCAAGTTTGACGTTTTAAAGCGTGCCCCAGCTCATGATAAGAAAATGATAGGTGAGAAGTGTTTTTTTTTTTTAGAATTGTATTTATGTAAGTTTAATACCTACCTATTAACATAACTAGGGATTTCCAGAATTTAAATAAAAATACCTTTAAAAATGCTCTAAAATAATTAATCTCTCTATTTTGTAATTAAGTCCTTTTTGTTAAAATTTCCTTATATTTTCCTATTCTTTTTATCACTTTTGTATTTTTTATGCTATAACTGGACCACAACGAAAACCGGGGCATTTGCATTGAGCGTGCCATCCTGTATAAAGAAAGTTGAATAAAATAAATAAATAAATAAAATATTTGTTTGAATGTTGTGTTGAATGTTTAAGTACTGTGGTAATTTTTGTTACCATAGTTATGTGTCACTTAAAGGAGAGATATATATTTCCTATATAAAAATCTACCAGAGTGGAGCCATTTTTGTATGGCCTTTTTGTCATTTGTATTGGAAAAATAGATAAATAATACGAATGCAAGTCACAATAAACGATACTGTACGGTACTGTTTTAAATCTGGAACCCTTAATAATTGATTAAATCATTGAATTGTCCATTTAGCGGCTACTAAAAAGAAACATTTTAATGTTTAATGTAATTAATGAACATTTTACAATTCTTAAACTACCAGCTAAATTAAGTGTATATATGTAAAGAATATTGAAACAGTATTATTTATACCACTGTTAATTGGCAAGAAAAAATATTTTCTTGTTTTAAAAAAGTCATTTCGTAGATAGAACTGCGCATGCTCCTATCAAGGTCATCGACATAAACACCATATATATTGTGTTTATGTCGATTGACCTCGATTGACCATGAATACAAGCATGTGCGGTTCTAACTACGATTTGGCTTATAAGCTAATTACTTAAATGTAGAAAGCAATTAAAAAATTGAGTTTAAATTTGACTATTGTATACTAACAAGGCAGTTTCAATAGGACCCTAAACTAAACACTATATTAAGTAGGCACCTGTAGTCTCAGTTCCTGTACTGAGTATTTAAATTTGGCAAACATTTTCAAAAACAATTCATTATAATATTCTTATATACTTTATAAAATATTTAAAATAGATTTAAACTGTTTATAAAAACCATAGATTCAAATCTACAAGTCAAATAAAACAAAGCCCAAAATGACATTATCAAGTAGTAGTTATATTTAAGTATCTTTATAAAATATTAAATAATCTATGCATCAATTTAATACAGGAAATGTTATTTCAACATTTAAAATTACTCCTGTTTATTTTTTATAGCATTCCACACCCCACTTTTATTTTCTTCCTAATAACATATAACCACTGTGCAGAAACAGTGTCACATTACAATGTACTGGTTATGTTAATGATAAAGTTCAAATAATCACACAGGTACAAACTTTAATAGGTATCTCTACCAACACCATGACAACATAAAAAAGACAGTATATAAATAGTCACTGGGGTGTCAGGGGCCTTAACCCTTCATTGGACAAGCCATACCTCTGCCGACTGTGACTCAAACCAATAAAGGGAAACATCCTGTTGTATTTAATTTTGCTAAAACATTTTCAGAACATCTTAAAAATTCTGAAAAAAATCCTGAACGCCCGGCAAGCCTTATCCTTTGGCAAACACTGGCCACCACTGATAACCCATCAGACAGCTTTAATAGCTCCCTCACCACCAACAACATTTTGTCATTCAAAAGGTGTGTTGTCATGGAGCAATTTGGTATCACATTTATTTATATTTTGTTGATATTTAAAATACTGAGAATAACATTTTTCTTTGCATGGTTTCTTCATGACTATATGTTTAATAACACTATTTAAAAACACTATTTGTGTAATAAATTTTTTCAAAATAGCTAAGAGACATTTTTCTCAACTTTGACATACTGTACCCTGTGGTAGTAATGGCACATCCTTCATAAAATTCTAACATACACCAAATGATCAATAACAAAAAAAAATTATATTTGTACGATATATAAAGAGAGTATTATATATCCTTTTAACGACACCCAGTGGGTTAGCTTATGTTTGAGGGCGCCCTTAAAGCAATCTATGTATCAAAATCTAGAAAATGGGAAGGAGAAAGAAAAATTAATCATTAAAATTTCTTTACACATTGTCTCTTCTGGTGGCTTGCCAGTAACTGAATCATTTTTCTACGTGTAAGTGAAACAATTCAATACTGTTGTTGTTATTAGTCTTTTCCTGACATGGCTTCAAACATCTGGAAAAAATAATGATAAAACCTCATTCATCATACATTGATAAAAGCAATATATCAAAATTGGTTGTATTTGCCCATATATAGTCATGATGTGCCTATATATGGTCATGATTTGAGGTCATCATGACCATATATAGGCATTTAATAGTCTAGAAAGGGCTTTAGATGATCTATAAAATATTACTATATAAATTCTTATGTATTTATTTAGGCCTATATATAATCATTTATATAATGTGTTGATTCACAGTATATTGGAATTTTTAAGGTTTTAGTGAAACTGAGCCTAATGGTAAATCTATTATAAGAAATTGCAACTAAACAGCAATAATTTTTTATTTTTTTTATATTTCACTTTCAATAACCTGTGTAAACTCACAGTAAATAATAAATTGAAAAGGCACAAAATTATTTATTCATTTCATTTATCTAGCAGCGAGTGACTTTCCACTTTCTCGATGAAGCGATGCTTTCCAAGTCTCATTAAGAGGCTTAGTTGAGACATTTTTCACATCTTGTTTAGTAAACCCGCCACCTGCCAATAATGTGGATTTCGAATAAAATTTTATTTTGGCCAATTAGCACACCACCCGCCACGAAAAAACGGAAAGTTCTTTATTTTCATTACGTCCGCTGCTGCATAGAAATCTCCAAAAAATGAGATATGCATATACCTTCATAATCATATAAATTTAGAGCATTTAACCATCCCATTACAACACTGTTTACAATGAACAATAAAATTTTAAAATTTTTATTTTCTCCTCCATCTGGATGTTTTTGGCAAAACCATTTGCTAAATAAGAAAACAAAACTTTTGTTTTTCCCCCCTCCTCTGACGATCTTTAATAAAATAAGTTCTCCAAACAAGTCCCGCCTTTTGAGTTATTACGAGTTGTTTTAACTTTTAATTACTGAATCACATTTTGATTACCAAGCCAGTGCAGCTTCACTCATTCTTATGATGAGTCTGCAGATTACACAGGATCTTACCTTCATTCTATCTGCGATAGTTTTTGAAGACTTTACGCGTTGCAACATCGGAGAAGCCCTTCCACTAGCTGAATTTGTTTTCAAAACTTCAAGCTTAGATGTCTGTGTGGATGAATGCAAAAAACTATTTGTGTAAAGCAGATAATTATAATATTCACAGAGTTTGACTTTCCAAGGTGCTTATCAACATTTATTGCACCAGGTTTGTATTTATATTTTGTTGTATTACTTTTTTTAATTAATTGACTTATAAATAAACTATATGTGGTGAAGACAAGCCAAACAGGTCACTCCTCGCAAATTGTATATTCGGAGATAATGACCAAAACATGTCATTAAAACAAGATTTTTTAACAAATCGGTGATAGTCATGGATACCTGAGAAATGTTCAAAAGTGTAAACTTTGAAGGCTGATTCTCAAATACTGTTCTTTAAACAGTCACTTGTCTGTTTAAAAAATCCTGTAAATTCATAATGAAATGCTGAATATAAATTATTTGCTATGATGCTGTCTCTTATACACATCTCCCCTCCTAAATAATATTAAGAAAAATATTTGTTGTACTGTACTGTATTGTTGTAAAGTATTAGGGTGCAATTTCCGGGCACCTAGAGGCAGGCGCGGATCCAAAACTCTTTGCACCGTTCGCCATTATAGCTTGGTTCTCACAAGAGCCCTAGTATCCGGATCGGGAGCTAACCGAGCACAGGGAGGATAGGCTATACATGTGCATTGATTCCTATAACCTTATTGAAAGGCATATATAATTTTATTACATTTTGTTATTCCAAAATTACACTAAAACAAAAACATATTATTTTAATTATTACTTTTTGATTAATGACTTATTATTTCATTATTTTAACGAATGCTATTCATTAAAAAAAAAAACAAAAAAAAAACAAGCCTTTAATGGAGTTGGTAGCCTAACACACTTTGATACAGTACATCTAAAAAAAAATTAAAAAAAATTGACCACCGAGCACTGAGAGACTAAAAATGAACACGGAATCGGAAGAAGAGCAACGACGTGAATGGTATGTAAATTTCAAATCATACAGCGTTGGAAATGGAAAAAGAATTAAAAAAAAAACAATACTGAGAAATTGAGAACCCAGCTAACAATAATGTTATTTGGTAGAACCATATGTACATACTTACAACCTAATTTTACAACGTCACAACGTTTGAATGTTTCTACAACGTTGTGTGAATGTTATTATGTGACATGCCAAACCACAATGTTCGCGAACGTTATAACAATGCTTCCGAACATGCATATAACATGATTTTTTTTAGATATATGATATTTTCATGACAGTCGAGAATGTATTGATTATATGAATTGATCCAATTGTGTGCATTTAAAATGTGACTTGGCTGACACTCCAATCAAAGGTCTGTTAATCAACCTTGCATAGGAGCCTGTCGTCACCTGCTACGATGCCACCTCCTCCTTATCATCATCACATCATTACCATCAACATCATCATCTTCATCGCAATATTAATTGTCCATGGTAAAATGGGGGAAAACTATGAATTCAGTGTGTACTCATTATCAATAGAAGTGTCGTAAAGGCACGTAAGTGCATTTCTCAGCATCTAGAAAAGCTTTCCGAGGCTAGGTGAACCCCAAGACTGCTGCAAACCACCACCCCCCCCCACATCTAAAATAGTCTTTCAGCGACGGAACAAGCCCATGACCCTGCCCACCTTAGTTCAGTTTTTCTTATGCGCAAGTCTTCTCTCTTCTCAAGCAGTATTTTTCTCTCACTTTGTAGTCGATCAACATCAAGTAAATGTTTCTTATCTGACGTCACAAATTTGTTTTCAATCTTTGGAGCATCTGTTTGAAATAAAGATAAAAGAATAACATTAATTGACTGATTAAATAGATTCGATCATTTATCTATCTCCTTGTTTGTTCACTTGTTCGTCCATCTGTCCATCTGTTTATTATTATTCATTTATTAACTTCAATCAATCCATTTTTAATCCATCCATCTTTCAATCAATCACCAACTTTACCATTAATTCATTCATTCATTTATCCATTCATTCATTCATTTAATCATCAATTTCTTCATCAATTCATCCATCACCAATTTAAACATTCATTGATTCATTTTTTTTCCAGTCAACCCTTCATTTTAATCAATCTATCAATTATATTCATCCACCTATTGATTAATTAAATTAATTAATTAATCATTCATATACTAGTATATTCATTAATTCAATCGCACAATCATTCACTTATTATAAAACCGTTTTAATTTTGCTTTGTGCAACCTTTTCTGTAATGTTTTGCATGTTGGAGTACCTAATATTTGAATTGAATTCTATCCATCCAATCACACATAAACACCATTATTACCCATCCGGTACTTCAAGCCCCACCACCAACAATCACCATAATGATAACATCCATCATGTCTTATAGAATGGCAGGATGTAAATACCTTGTGTAGGTGTTTTTTCTTTGACCTTTATTTCAGCAACATCTTCAGTTGCAGGCGCATCAGAACTTGTCTGTGTACTGAGCTGACTTGAGACATCTACTGACTCAGTATTTTCCTCTGTGTCTTCCTTCTCTTCAACTGACTTTTTTTCTTTGTCTTTCTTTTTCTTCTTTTTCTTTTCCTTCTTTTCCTTCTTTTCTTTGTCCTTTTCCTTCTCTTCTTTTTCTTTACCATTCTTTTTTTTTATATTTGGTGAATGTTTCTGGAGTTTTGACCTGATCCAAGTCTGCCATTAAACATTTATTTCATTATTTATTTATTTATTAGTTACATTAACAATAACTATGGAATATTAAAAATAAGAATAATAATAATAAATAATTATAATAATCAACCAATCAACAGGGGTTTGTATAGCTCCACAATGTGATTTGGTGCTATGATGTTGGTATTTGTTATACACTTAATTAGACTATTTAGATGAATTAAAGTTTAAATATACTGTATAATAATAACAACAGTGCTTGAAATAGAAACATATTATTATCTTATCTTGCATAGCCCTTCAAAAAAAGGTTTTCAACCAAAAAGAGAATTTGGTTTATTAATATTAATTCAATGATAATAATAATTTTTATTTATTGCCTAGATGTCTTCTATATTGACAGATATATCTTGTTGTTTGTGTCTTCTACTATGCTTCCACTTACAGATCGTATGGCATTATTTTCATATACTGGTTCTGTGTCGTCGTTACCGGTATCTTCCACCTGTCTCTTATACACATCTAGATGTGTATAAGAGACAGCTAATTTATAGAGCGCAAAATACAAAA